CTGTTTGATGTTGCAAACTGATATTTTCTTATTATATGTGTTTGCTTTGTCTGTATAATCATGCAAACACTTGTTTGAAGAGCAAGTAGTGTGACACTTTTCTGCAATTTACTATTCCTAATCATTTCTCCCATAGGGAGCTGAATCGGAAGTTCTAAAACAATCGCAACAACGAGTGCACTTCCACATTGAAGAATGAGGTCAATAACACTGGTTTGTTCTGTAGACAATTGAAAAATTGGTTAAGAGGGTTAATAATTTTGACCTTAAACCAAAAAAAAACTGCTTTTATTTAAGACAAAAATAAAACAAATAAGACTTTCTCCAGAAGAAAAAAAAAAATTATAGGAAGTACTGTGAAAAATTCCTGAATCTGTTAAACATCATTTATACAATTAAAAATAATTTAAAAAGAAAAAATAATCACTGGAGGGTGAATAATTTTGTAACTCCATATACACACACACACACACCCGTGCATATGCGGCAGAATGAGTGCATGACTATGGAGATGACTGTGTGTTGAAATGTGTGTAGTTGAGGTCTGGAAGTAATCAGGTTGCGGGCAGAGCTCCAGCGCCCCCGACCCATGATGCAACTGCAGTGGTGCGGGTGATGGGGAACAGACAGACAGAGAGGGGGAGGGGAGCGTCTCCAAGAAACAGCGACACTCAAGGAACTTTACTGTGGAAAATATGCCACTGCACTCTCCAGGTCACGGATTTAATGCAAGGTCAAGCAGACGATTTGCAACTAGTGAAACACACACACACACACAACAACTTGTTTTGGAGTGGAAAGAGAACTTCCTTTTTAATTATAATCGTGTAGAAAGTGTTTGGAAAACTTTTTCTTTCATTGCTGTATAAGTTTTGCTTTTTGTTACAACAGTACTGTAGTTACAACAGATATATTTTAAGGGGACAGTTCACCCAAAAATGAAAGTTCCAGCATAATTTATGCTTCCATTACTTGTTCCAAACCAGTTTAAGTTTCTTTCTACTAGTGGTCACAAATCTTTATTCATTATTTTTTGTCACGGATCGAACCATTTTTTGGATCAACCAAAAACGGGAGGAGACAAATGTACTTTGCTTTCTATTTATTACAGAAATAGCACTGCAAGAAACTTTTGGTTTTAACCAACAAAACTCAGAACCTGTAATTTTATTAAAAATTAAATGAAGAAATAATCAGTTGAATAAATGAAAATTGTAAAATATTCAGTACTGTGAAAAATTCACTGTTACTGTTACTGTTGCTAATAACTCTAAATCTTTAAATCTAGCATTATAAGTTGTACAACCCACATTTATTTTTAGTCTTATCTTCAATAAATGATAAAGTTATTTACTCATAAAACGTCATGTTTCATTTCTAGACGAGTCATTTTTGAAGATTTTTTCAGTGGCACATTTTTGATGGCTAGTTGTCGCCACCTATTGGTTAAATAATTTAATTTAACTTTCATTTTTGAGCTTCGTTAAATGGATGGTTCAATACAATATCATATTTTAAACTTTGGCTGATGTGTAATGTAGCTGTGTGAACACAAACAACATCTCTGAATGTAATACTCTCATAGTTCAATGCAGAGGGAGACATTGGCTTTTACAGAGTTAGCTTAGCAAAGCCTACAGCAAATGAACTTTGGGGACTACAAAAAAGTACATCAGGGTTAATGATGTCATAAACCCTTCAGGTTTGCAGCTTATTGCATTTGAAGCTTATCTGCGAATCACAGCACATTATGTTAGCTGACAAATCAGAGCCTCTTGAGGGCAGGTCTTCAGAGGAACTAGGAAATATGACAGTTGTTTTCACGTTAGCTGAGTAGCTGTACATAATCAAAGTAGGACATATGAAAAAAATGATGTGAATTTTTACAATTGAAAGCATGAGCGCACATTACTTTGCATCTTATAAAATACAACCAAGCCTTAAAAATACACTCTTGACCACCGCTTTAAATGCATATGATGGTGACTTAAATCTTTACCATAGACATCAGTGGTTTTATCTAAACTATAAACTTTTATCTCAGTACTTCTGTGTTATTTGACTATTTGTAACTTCATAACTAACTCAAAACACTAAAGACTCAATCTCTTTCTTGATTTTTCGGTTTTCAAACAAAGATTTGAATGCAGCGATTGGAAGGATTAATAGACACATGCAAATCACCATCATTTATCATTTGTGTTGCGTGGGTGTTGAGATCCCGACCTTTTAATGATTAATCGCACAACTTAAACTGAATGCATTGATACACCCTAAACAGGTAGGGACAGAAAACACCTTTAATAACGTAAGAAACCCTCCACATCCCAAATAACCCTCCACAACTTCTTCCATCATCATTATATTTTACAGGAAAGCCTAAATGCTTTCATACATGTGACTTGAATGACACGAGAGGTGATCTATATCCGGCAGCTAGCTCTCTGCAACTCTCACATGGTTGCCCACTGAAGCTAAGCAGGGCTGCGCCCGGTCAGTACCTGGATGGGAGACCACATGGGAAAGCTAGGTTGCTGCCGGAAGTGGTGTTAGTGAGGCCAGCAGGGGGCGCCCAACCTGCGGTCTGTGTGGGTCCTAATGCCCCAGTATAGTGACGGGGATCCTATACTGCTCAGTGAGCGTTAAACGGAGGTCCCGACTCTCTGTGGTCGTTAAAAATCCCAGGATGTCCTTCGAAAAGAGTAGGGGTTTAACCCCGGCATCCTGGCCAAATCTGCCCACTGGCCTTTGTCCATCATGGCCTCCTAACCATCCCCATATTCAATTGGCTGCATCATCTCTGTCTCCTCTCAACCAATCAGCTGGTGTGTGGTGTGCGGTCTGGCGCAAAATGGCTGCCGTTGCGTCATCCAGGTGGATGCTGCACACTGGTGGTGGATGAGGAGATTCCCCCCACTGTGTAAAGCGCTTTGAGTGCCCAGAAAAGCGCTATATAAATGTAAGGAATTATTATTATTATTATTATTATTATCTCTCTGTGATCATTACAAATTTAGGATTAATCTACAAGTAAAAATAAAATGTATTAATTCGCGGGTCACGTGTGTTCCGAACCGTTGGTTGTGATCCGTACAAATCATGGAACAACTGTGATCTGTTACACCCCTACTTTCTGCAACTGAATACAAAATAAGATATGTTGAATAATGCTGTTTGCCGGCACACTTTGGCTTCCTTAGTAATATGTCCATACTATCCCACTATGGAAGGCAATGGGTGCCATAATCAGCATTTTTCAACATCTTTTCCTTTGTGTTCAACTGAAGAAGGAAACTTACAGTATGAAGGCTTAAAACCACACGAGGGAGAATAGATGATGAGGTAATGTAAAATGGGTGAACTATGCCTTTAATGCATGTTTACTAAAGCTGCTAGTAAACATAGTAGCTGCATCCGAAATCGCCTACTACTCAGTAGGTACTGCATCTGAATTTATATTTACTACTCGACCATTAGAAAACTATGGTCTGTACAGTGAATGTGAGTAGTATAAATGGACATACTACATCCACTATTTTGTCATGATCATGTGATCTACCAGTTTTCCGTAGTCACTTCACTCCCATTCATGAATTCTCTCACGGGACATTATGGGATAGCATTACATGCTATAGAAATACATAAAATATGTGAAGATAACTTATATGACTAAAATCATAAGAAATAATGAAAAAGCATTATATAATCAATCATAATCAATAGATATATATGAAAAAACAAAATGACAAAAGAATTGCACCACTCATACATTTAAAATAAAAATTAAAGAAATTTATATATATATATATATATATATATATATATATATATATATATATATATATAGGTCTATCATATATATATAGGTCTACTAAATTCATATATTCATTCATTTTCCTTCGCCTTAGTCCGTTTATTCATCAGGGGTCGCCACAGCAGAATGAATCGCCAACTTATCCAGCACATGTTTTACACAGCAGATGCCCTTCCTGCTGCAACCCAGTACTGGGAAACCACCATACACGCACATACACTACAGTCTGTTTAGTTTATTCAATTTCCCTATAGCGCATGTATTTGGACTGTGGGGGAAAGCGGAGCACGCGGAGGAAACTTACACGAGCATGGAAGAACATGCAAACTCAGAAATGTCAACCAGGCTGGAACTCGAACCAGCGACCTTCTTGCTGTGAGGCGACAGTGCTAACCACTGAGCCACCGTGTCACCTTCATATGTAGATATTATATTTCATGTGTAATTAGAAAGAAATGGCAGTTAACCTGATGAATTAATCACTGAAACAAGATGAAAAAACTTTGTTAACGTACTTCTAATAACAGTTTAAATTATGCATGCGTGTGTTTTTAGCCATCTGTAGTGGTGTAATTACAGGGCACGTTCAGATGGAAAAAAGATGGTTTAAAAATCAAGTGATTTCTGTTTTTGTTGGCTCGCAAATATACAGCCTATAGCTCGCAGTGAAGGGATTGGTATGGTAATTGTTACCAGACCTTCGAGATATGTCACACATTACAGTAAGGAAACAGCAAATTAAGTTAAAACAGAGGATGTGTTTTAAGATCGGCCTTATCAGACCTTCAGGATGTAGGTCGAGCAATTTCTGTGAGTCAGAAAAAGTTCAATCCAAGTGAAGTATCCCATGACGTGCCTCGATTTGTATCGGTTGTGAGTCACTGTGTGATCAGCCAAAAGTTGGAGTTGCATTAAAGCAACACTATATGGGTTTTATAACATGGTCTATTTTCTATAATATGCAGTTGATTATATTCTGTGTGATTTTTTTGCCTGTGACAATTTTTTGAGGTATCTTTAAAAAATATAACCTGTCATTTTTTTATTCTTTTTTGTTTTTGCTTTCTGTTTTTGTTGTTTTTTACGATTTATACCTTTGTTGTATATCTTTGTACCCTTGTTAATAATTCTAATAAAAAATATAAGTTGCACTAAAGCGCGTTCTTGATCCAAGTTGCGCGTTACAGCTCAAAGGAGGCGTGTCCGCGTGCACGCCACGGTCCTGCCGCACTGAGTATCGGGTCTGTCCTCTTTGTCATGCTAAACTGACCGGACGGAGAGAGAGGGAGAGAGCATCATTCTCCTCCTGAGACTTCTTCTTCAATGGGACTTTAAATAAAGGTTAGTTTTATTCCTTCAGCCGCCGAGAAAAGTCAATTCGGGTTTACGTTTAACTGTTTGGATAGTTCCATTCAGAGTTAAATACTTGGGAAGATAATATGCTGTTTTATGTGTAGGAAAGGGATATATTCGGATATATTCTTGATCGTTTTGTGTTGGTTTTGTTGTGTAGTAATGTAATTTGGGGAACTTTAGACTGTCAAACACGACGTGACGCGAGACAGTGCTGTTCAAACAGAGACGCGCGTGGGGTTGTTTGTTCTGCGGGCACGCGAGCAGATTGTTGATATTTAACCCGCTTAATCCCGGTTTATTAAAGCGATTAGCGGTCACTGAGGTAACAGACCCACTGTTATCATACTACTACTTTAACTTCTTAGCTTCAATTGTTTCATTTTTGTTTGTTTAAAATGGCTAAAACTTAAATTCTAATGTTTTTCCTCAATTTAGGTTTGTATGCTTAATTTTAAAGGGTTGTTTATTGTTGTTTTGTTGTTTTAAATTTACATTCAAATAATTTTAAGTTATATTACAGGTATAGTAACTGTTTAACTAATTTACTTTTTTATTTTTTATTTTGAAATATGCTACCTGGTTTTGTTTATTAGTATTTTTTAGTCTTTTTTATTACTTAAAGACATAGTTCACCCAAAATAAAAACATACTCACTATTTATTTGTCCTGAAGTGGGTCCATACATTTATGAGTTTCTGTATTCTCTTTAACACTAAAGACTGTGTTTTAAAGGAAACTGAAAACCTGTAAACCATCAACTTCCTTAGAGAAAACAAATACTAAATACTATGGACTTCAACCAGCATTCTTCAAAATATCTTCTTTTGAGTTTTACTGTGTTCTTTTGAGGACTTTCCGTTTTAAGTGAACTGTCCCTTTAATACCTTTTATCATTGAATTAAACATGTACAAAAGTGTTTGTTAAGTATAGTTTTTGTCAAAATACCATAGTTAATATGGTAAAATCTGGTAATTTAGCATAGCTATTAAAAAAAAACAAGATCCTATATTACTTTATTATGGTTTTATTGAAGCATGTAATCAATTATAGAGTTTGAAAAACCCATACAGACCAATGTTATTAAACATTTGGGAAAATAGTTCCCCTCAGTGTTTATAGTTGTAGATATTTTATTATATCACAGGATTTGATGGAAACAGGGGTAACCATAATAATGTTAGGGTCAGTTGGAGGAAAGAAGGAGTGTTTTGGCTCTAGAATTGGACTTGGAAAGTTTACAGACTTATAGAGATGGAAAACATGCCAATGGTCAAACTCAGAAAAAAAGAAATCTTTGTGCATGGCATTTTTTGTTCAGTTTAAACAAGCTTTATCACTTCGGCAGGGTCTTTGTGCTGTAAGGATGACAAGTGCTGCAAATCATTAAACAGAGAATGAATGTGGTTTGTACAGGCCCCGGCTCTGGAAATCCCAGAGTTTAGCAAAAACTCACTAGCAGACTTTTTCCCAGGACCGTAAACTAAAGCAAGCTGTTAAACATAAGTGAGCAGTGATTACGCGCACATGATACCATTATGGAGACATATAGTATGTAATTGCACACTCCTCCAGTCCAAGACCACGCTGATCAGATGATGTGCGTCTGGCCGGGAGGGAAGCGAGTCTTTCCGTATGCTGGAGAGTTTCATTGGTGTCAGGCGGTGATGGAGTGAGTGTGAGAGAGAGATCACAACTGAACTGAGAATTTGGCACGTTTGAGAGAGTCTGTTATCACATATCATAACATTTCAGCTGACGTACATCATCACCTTGTTCCTGCATTGATTTAACATAAATTCAAACAACTGTTAACAAATGCAATGGAAAAAATTCCCAGTGCTCTGCCCCTGTCTCTTTAAAGCACTGTAAAAAGCTTTTTAGGTGAATCAAATGAACTTTTCTAGTCATCTCAATATGTTACATCAGTCAAACTGACTATAAATATGAAGTTAACCTTTGCATAACTAAAAAGAATTGAGTTGAACCTTATTACAATTAGCTAAAATAACATGAAACATTTGTTGTCGTGACTGACTTACAGTGAGGGATAGTTCACCTAAAAATTAAAATTGTTATCATTTACATTTTACTGTAAAAAATACTAGGTTCAACACAATTCCTTCATGTTGTCCCAACACAAATCTTTTAAGTTAACTTCATTTTTTTTTCAAATTTAAGTATATAGAACATAAAGCAATTAAGTTATAAAAAAAAGCTTCAAGAATTGTGTTAATTTAGCTCATTATAAATATGAAGTTGGAACAAGCAGTGTTGATTGAGCAAGAAGTGTTGTTTCAAACCTTTAAGAGTTTCTTTTTTCTGTTAACCACGAAGGAAGTCATTTTGAAGAATAATGGAAACCGATAACTATTGATATCCATAAAAAACACATTGTCATGATTGGTAGGGTGGGGAAAGGAGCAAGGACTCAAGTACAGGGGAAATGATGGGTTTTTAGAAATAATAAAATAAAATAAACAGCAAAACAAACTACATTTAGGGGCAAAACATTAACATAAAAACAAACAAACTTGACTGGGCAGGACTGGCAAGGATCAGGGCTGGACAAACAGGACACGACTCGACGGGATACGACATATGACGAACTGGCACAGAACAGCAGACAAGAGGAGACTATAAACAGAAAGAGTTAACAAACTAATAGGTGAACATAATAAACTAATAATAGGTTAACAAGGAGGGTGGGACTGAACAAGAGATAAGACAGCACATAACACAAAGACACAACACAAGCCGTGTGCTTGTGTAAAACAGCGGTCCGTTCTTGGAACTTGGATTACTGAGCTGGATATGGTTATTAATGATGAGCCTGACACGGGAACACTGCCCGAGTGCCTTACAAAGATGAATACAATGACAGAAAATGAGTGCTCGACCCGAGAATACTCCAGCCGAGCACAACATACTAGATAAGACAGGACTAGTGTCTGGACTCAAAACAAGAACAAAAGCGAAATGGCAGAATCCTGACACATATACTATGGAAGTCAATGGTTAACGATGTCCAACATTGTTTTGTTTACACTAAAAATATTTATGCTACTTATTCAAACTGCTTTTGTAAAAGTGTTTAATTGTTTTTGTAATTGTTGTAAAAGTAAATTTAATTGTTTTATGATCTGTCGACTTAAATTTGTAAAAACAATCAGGTTAACTAAACCCTTTTGTGTTGGGAAAACATGTCGGATTTTTGTGAAACCTATGACTTTTTTTACAGTGTAGCAGAACAAAAATCCCTCAAACTGTTTGGAATAAGTCATGGCTGAGTAAACAATGACAGAATTAAAATTTTCAGCTGAACTATCACGTTAAGACTGTTGTCTCAGCCTTTGTTGGTTTAGAGGAAAGCCAGAGCTTTCTCAGGTGGCTGGCGACGGTGAACTCACGGTGAAGGATTGTGTCGCTGACAGCGTAAATGGATCCCCCTCTTCCTGCACAGACTCCTCACGGGCCGCCGCCGCAGACTGCAGGAGTGGGCTGAGCAGGAGAGTTTGATGAGAGTTTGAGTGTGCTTCAGGAGAAGCCTATGTGCTTACAGCATGCCTTTCTCAAATGGATTATTACACATGTGGTGTATTGGAGAGGGAGAGAGCATTTGTTTGAAGGAGTTTTGTTATGGAGTTGGCCCCAGTTATTTTCCAAAACACTCCCCAAATCTGCTGATGTTTTGAGTTTCACGTACAAATTTTTTTGTTTTAGCTACTTAATCTCATTATACACTCTTAAAAATGAAGTGTTTTATGCCACAGCTCCCAAAATGTGCGTGTTATTTTACATTTGAGCAATTTTACAACCAGGGGTGGAAAAATTTGAAAATATTCAGCTCTTACATTAGCAATGTTTCTATTAGGGTGAACATTTGTAAAAACTAAAGAAACTGTCCACTTTTCCAGACTTTTGTTAAATTAAAAGGTTTCATAGTTGTTTAAAGTTCTTACATTCCTTATTGTCATACATCAGGATGGATTGACAAGATTATTCCCAAAGCAGGCTCATTGAAAACATGTACCCTGGTTCAAATGTTAATAAAATGTTAATGTTTTGTTGGGTGGCATGGTGGCTCAGTGGTTAGCCCTGTCACCTCACAGCAAGAAGGTCTCTGGTTTGAGTCTCAGCTGGACCAGTCGACATTTCTGTGTGGAGTTTGTATGTTCTCCCCGTGTTCATGTGGGTTTCCTCTGGGTGATCTGGTTTCCCCCACAGTCCAAAGACATGCGGTATAGTTGAATAGGGTAAGCTAAAATTGGCCATAGTTTGAGTGTTTCCCAGTACTTGATTGTGGCTGGAAGGGCATCCTCTGTGGAAAACATATGCCGAAGTACTTGGAAGTTCATTCTGCTGTGGAGACCCTTGTTAAATAATGGGATAAGCTGAAAAGAAAATGAACGAATGTTTTTTTTGTTACTTGTTTTAGATGACAAATCCACTAGAGGGCGCTGTCTACAATGTTGTAAAGCTAAAATTCTATGATTTGTTGTACGTTTCTAATACTTTCCCTACTTATAGACTTTGTTGTACAGATCACCCTGAACCAGCGAATCACTGACCTAAACCCTTACCTAAACCCAACCAGTAGTGTTTTCTAAAGCAAGCATATTTTCTTATTACATTACATTCTAGCATTATTGTCTTATTCAGATTAAGGCAAACAATTCGATTACTGATGTCCATGTAAACATAGTCAATGTCACTTATAACATTTGAAGAGAAAAAAGAGCAGTCAATTCATGTGTTGATAGTCTGTGTTTGCACACATTCAAATATTTTTGAGAGCTCATTGCACAAGCATTTTATGATTAAGAACACTTTTGTTTTTTTAAAGTGTGATTATTAATGTGCAGCTTTCTCATAGAGTCAGACACAGCTGCTTTTTTCATGTAAAACATTTCCCCATCATGCAAATACCATTTATTTGGTTGGCCAGTTAGGTTAAATTGCTTTCTCATCTCAACCAAACTGCTCGAGAGTCAGTGTTGCCAGATTGTGTGGTTTTGAATTGGATTGTGCGGGTAAAAAATGGCATTGGCGGGTTGACACAATTTGGGGGGTTTTGAAACGTAAATTTTACATGCAACTTATTTAACAAAACATAACTCTGTGCATAGCGTAAACCGCGTGGTCTCACCCACAAGAGAAGGTGAAGGAAAGTTCTATTAAAATCTGACTCCCTGGACAAATCTGACTCCCCCTCGCATGCCTGTGCATCATGCAGCACCTGCAGTTAAACTTACAGCCGTTTATTATGACACTTTTATCGATCATTTTCTTCCGAAATTGACAGCAAGAACAAACACAGAAGCTTTGTCTGATTGACAAGAATAACCTAATTATGTTCAAAAGATTTTAAAATGCCAAATGAGACTCTTTTATTAAACTAAAACATACTCTAATACAGTGTTTCTCAACCACATTCCTGGAGGACCACCAGCACTGCATGTTTTGGATGCCTTCTTTGTCTGTCACACCCATTACAGGTATTTGAGTCTCTCCTAATGAGCTGCTGATCCGAATTAGGTTTGGTTAAGGAGACATGGAAAATGTGCAGAGCTGGTGGTCCTCTAGGAAGGTGGTTGAGAAAGACTGCTCTAATAGGTAGTGTAATCTACACAACGTTAAGTGCAGTGCGTGGGTGAGAGGGGGCAGTGTTTGGATGTGATCCTGTTATACTGCTGGGGTTGTTTGCTGTATCGTTGAAAGTTATGACAGTTAAAGTAAATAGGTTAGTTTCTATTTAAATACATTTAAATTAAATAAAATATTAATCTAATATTTTGCGCTTTTTTGGCAGGTTTTGGATAGCTTTTGGGCTGGAAAAAGTCAGCTGTATCTGGCAACACTGTGCAGAGTCCAAGATGCTTAATTGTTTTTGTGTGAATCTGAGCATGATTGCAGTGTAAAAATACCCTTAAACCTAGAAATTACAACAAGTTTTAAAAAGATCCAGCATAGCATCTGGGCAAACTATGGCCCGTGGGCCATATGCTGCTCACTAAACACTTTCATCCGGTCCGTGAGGGAGTTTTTAAAATGCTGCTTCTGAGTAACGGTTTGGTTTCAGTTTTAGTAAATTATTGATGCAATACAAGTGAACGCCATTTGATGGCAGTATTGCATGCGGTGCAGTTAGCGCAACCAGTAAAAATAGAACACTCTCTAGGATATTAAAATGCACTCGACTGTTAATGACTGAAAATAAGTCAGGCAAAAAAAAAAAAAGAAATTTTGATATATTACAACCGGCTCAAAGTTGTTACACTAGAGAGAAAATACGGCCAAGGTAAATTAAAAAGAGAAATAATTTATTAACAAAACGTAGAATTAACAAAAGTATTTAAAGCAATCAAAGTCTAAATGAAAATCAGTAGTGAAAAGAATGTGTTGGGTAGTGTACTGAGCTCATGATCCAAAACAAACAAAAATAAATATAAAACGCCTGGCAGAGACGTCTGGCTAATCGAGCTCCCTCTCATATAGAATGCCAGACTCATTATAGGCACCACACAATGGGTCTCAGGTGAGATGACCCACCCACCAATCTGCATTCATGCAGGCTCTGCAAATCACAAAGACAAAAACAAACAGGTCCCACATGGGACCTAACATTGACTCTGAATGTCGTGTGTTTAAGGAAAAATGGACAACAAATTACTTCTTCACTAATATCGGACAGAAAGCGGTATGTTTAAAAAGTATTGCTGTTTTTAAGACTACAACCTAAGTTGGCATTTTTCACACAAACATTTAAATTATTTTTAATGTGTTAAAATTAAAAAAAAAATTTGTCAGACAATATCTTTTCTATTCTCCACTGTAAAAATTATTACATTATTATTATTATTGTTATATTGTAAATTATTTTATTGTTTTATGATGATTGATAAGTAAATATAAGTAGCATTGCAAATTAATTTCACTTGTAAATAAGACTCAATTATAACTATTTAAAAAATGTGTTAATGTGACATGTTTCTGTCCGATATTACATGTTGTATGCATACTGCCATTATAAATAAATATAAATATATATAAATATAAAAAGTTATATTTTGAAAGATTTGAGATGTGGCCCTTCACTTAGTTTGCAAAACTTGATGTGGCCCTCGGTTCGAAAAGTTTGTTCACCACTGATCTAACCTGTTAGGTCAAAGAGTTTGTATTTGACAAATACACCTAAAATCCCATTTAAAACCTTTTGTGCATTATTTATATGAACACGTTTTCCATTTGAGGACTTTTCCAGAAGGAGGTTTTGTCAGATTAAGACTTCTGGAGATAAAATCAGCAGTAAAAAGTGAGGAGAGGGGGGAAGAGAGAGGATGTGCCCCAGACTTAAGGGGAAAATCAGTCCTGTGGATTAAAATCTGCTGAAAGTAGACTCTGCAGACTTTGGTTGAGAAGAAACTTCAAGCAGCAGTTGAAATCCGAGCTCCTTCTGGATCTGTTTTTTGACTTAATCAAGAGGCTGTCTTTCTGTTTCTGTTTTGTTGAGCTGAATTAATTTCAAGACACAAAGAGGGAAAATAGTTTGGTCTTTTGAATACCTCTTATGTAACTTAATTTGGCAAAACTTTAATACTACCAGAGAATGTGTATCATACTTGAGGGCTTGTACGTCTGAGGTAATGATTTATTGCTGCTTCATTTCCTTACCAGTGCCTTGGACTCACTTCTTTTAATGTTAAAATGACTGTGTATGTGATGTGGTTCTCCTCAGGGTGCACTGTTTGTCTGGGTGAATCTTTTTTTCACTTCAACCACCCAGAAGAGTTGAATCGCATGAGGAACATGCTGCCAGAAAAGACTGCAGGTCCTGCGCTGTCCCTCAATACGGGTGAGCGACATCTTTCTCCACCTTTCAGCTCTTGGCTTTGGATCTTTTCATAAACAGAGTCATTTTGCTCGCAGCCTAATTGGCCTCCTTCATTATCATGCCGCAGACTGTTTTATACACAGGAAGAGTGCAATTCTCTGCCATCTGTTCTGCTCTTCTGCGCTATTTTGTGTTTGTTTGCTTGCTTGTTAAACATGTAAATATGCTCATCAATCTCAATCAGTGTTGTTTTCTTCTCTCTCCAGTCACTCTTAAACATTACCTTTCATTTTCCATAAATAGAGTACAAATCTGGACCATGAGCTCTTAGAAGTTAGGGATCTGTTAAACAAAAGTCAGTGAAAGGAGGTGCTGGACTTTAATGTGAATGTTGAGTTTTAACTTCAAAGGTCAAACTGAATATCACATGAGATCCTTTCATTTCTGCTCAGTTTTTATAAGGTGTCTAAGAACAGTTAAGAAAAATGTTTTAAAACAGTGTTTGGTGTTATTAGTTATAAAGTAAGGGATTACTTTTCGTTTATAGGTTACTTAATTATTAGTTACTTATAATGAATTTGCCTTAAATATTGTACATACATTAAACAGTTATATATAAATCAATTCAGAGAAGCAGAGTAATTGTATTTTTTGTTATACAAAAATATTTGGCAGAATAATTCATTTTTTCAGCTTAAGAATGTAACATTTATCAAGATGATTGAGCATGCTTATAATGAAGTGAGAAATTAGTTTAAGGCAAAAATGCCCAAACTAGGGCTAAAGTTGGCCCATGGTAACCTTTGATTTGCCCCACCATCCAATCTGACAGGAGAATGATGGGGAGAGTTGGGGTTAATTATTTTACCTGAGATTGTCATTTCTATTTCTATAACCTTTTTGATTGTTTGTTATATTGCTGAACTAAAACAAAACGCTAACTTAAAATTAAATGTTTAATTTAAACGTTGTGATTGAATCTGATTATTAAAAATGTTAATACTGTCACAGAGAGCAATGCAGAAGCCATCAGCGATGCATCAAATCAAGGCAAAACAGGTGCAGCTTGACTCGTGTATTTGGCATTGTATTCCATTCTCTTATAAATAGGATTTTTTTGTTTACTGCATTAGTTAATATAAATCAATGTTCACTAGTTATTTTTACATTTTATTAATTTCCCATGGCAACTTTAATTGGCTTATTTACCTTCAGCCCAGAGCTCTCAATCCAGTTTGGTTTTTGGCCTTTCATAAGAAAACGTTTGGGCACCCCTGGTGGTGTTTAGGGTGTACGTTCAGAAATTTTAGCATATGTATAAGAAACAATAAAATAAGCAAATTTGTCAATATATGGAGTGTATGACATAATGAGAGTTTACATGGACACTAGTAATCCAGTTTTAATAGGATTAATACTTTGATTAGGAGTCTACCATGTAAACATTGATTTTTGATTCATTTAATCCAGTTATGGTCATAATCCAACTAAACAGAGATGACACTATTCTCTGCACCTACTGAGTCAGTGAAGGACCACAGACACATACATCACAAAATGCGGAGTTTTTTTCTTCCTTTCGGCGTGTGGTATCAAATTCCATTAAAACTTTTCCAGCAGTCCTTACCTGTACTCGCATCCAATATCTTGTTTGTTAAAGAGGCATGAATGAAATGTTCCTGAACGAAAGTGAAACTGCCGAACTGCAGTTAAAGTCGACAAAGTAAAAATGAAACACCCGAAATGCCATGAGACCCAGGTGCAAAAATGTGAATAGTGTGAATAATTAATCAAATTATGTGCTAAAACATGTAAAATGGGATTATGAAAAGAACATTAAAAAAGCAACTCATATAAACAAATCACATCATATTATTGTCTTAATCAGATTAAGGCAAATAATCTAATTACTGATGTCCATGTAAACATAGTCATTCTGTCATTAATTTGAAACTTTAAGTGGTTTTATCAAATTTAACAAAAGATTTTTGTTTGACAAATTTAAAGAATTTAAATAGTTTTGTTTCTGTTGTCTATATCAGGGGTTCCCAAACTTTTCAACCCACCACCCCCAAAATAACAATGCCGGTGACTCCCGCCTTCATAATCCCCAGAAGTGGTTATAAATATACAAATATTGCAAACACAACAATAGGCCTATATGAACACGAGCATATTGACAACACAAAAAGTTTAAAAAACCATAGGTTATAATTTACATAATGATTTATTAATTTGTTTATTTAATATTAAGCTCAACTAAAGAGACGGGTAGGCACAATGTTTTCAGCACAGGTCTATTCTTGGTTTGATTTTAAAGAATGCCACTCAGAGACCATCCTCAGTGTTCAGGTGTGGCCTGTAGTTATTTTTAATGTATTTGATTGCCATAAAGGTGTCAGAAAGTTTAACATGTGTTGTTAATTTATTGTAAACTAATAAATAAAAAGCTGATGGCTTTTTATTTGCATGTTGTTGCTTTTGTATGTAACTATTAACTATTTTTATCTTGTGTGAGCTATGAATAAAATATGGTAATTCTAATAGTTTAATACAATTTATTTGACATTTTTGGAATTCATCAAACAACCCCCTGTCATTGTCCTGTGACCCCCCAGGGTGTCCCAACCCCCACTTTAGGAACCACTGGTCTATGTGTAATGAGATTTATAGGGATTTTCAGTAGTATTAAGTCAAGTAATTACTAATAACATAGTTACTTTTCTGACAAATCATTTAGGAAAGTAATTTAAAAGCAATTTTTTATATATGTAATTAATTACTTTTTTAATGTAACTTACCCAACACTGGTTAAAACCCAGCCTAACAATAAATACCTAATTTCCTTCATTTAATCAGAGCATTTAAAATTAGCTTTCACACTAGCTTAATGTTCTTACATAATGTTTTATCTAACAGATCTCATAACAAAAGCATGGGATTTGTGCCTCTACTGCTTTAAAAAGTCATGAGACCCAAAGTGTAACGTGTTCATGGAAAGTGCCATCTCTGCTTTTCTTTCCTTCTTTTCCCTTTCTCTTTCTTTCTCCTTGGGCTTTGTGTTGGCTGAGAGACCTTGAGTTAATACAAACATTCATCTTACCACCATGTAGCCGCAGCTGTACAAATGACCATGTTACCTTGTAAATAAATGACAACGTAAAATCCCTTCCATATGGCTCCAGGTCAACCACTTAGCTAAAATGATTTACAATCCAAAACGTAGATAAACATGCTGGAATACAGGTGGTCCCAATGTATGTATGTATGTGTGTGTGTCTGTTCGCTGATGAAGACCACCACTGCTCCCACAAATCACACTTTCTGGTTTTGGAGGAGTTCTGACCCGGTTCCTTTCCTCTGCTCCAATGCCAGAAAGTACAAACCCATCCTGGCTTTGGTTCTTCCATTTTTAGAAGGCGCTTTTCCCCCTAAATCTCAAGGAATCCATATTTATGTAGGCTGTGATTTGTATGAGGGTGCTTTTTCAGTTGTGTAGTCAGCTGAGCACATGTGACCCTTGAACTTTTGCAGAACCTAAAAATTAGCCAGAGGCCCAGCGTTTGATTCCTCTGTTAATTTTGTGGCGTTTTGCAAACCTATTTGTGCATGTGTCTATGCTGACCTGTCCGAATAAGAAACAAGAGGATCACATTAAGGGTTTGTCATGTTAAAAACTCTTGATTGGTTCCAGTTAAATGCAAAAAAATTGCGGTCTTGTTTTAAATTTGCATGCTTCCAGATGTATCATTTGGCTTGGAAGTTCCATCATGCATTCTTTCCACCAGATATCAGATGAATTTTTGGTCATATCATGAAGAATCAAAACTTTCTTAGTTTTAAGGCCAGCAATAACAACATAAAAAAAAAAAAAAAAAATATATATATATATATATATATATATATATATATATATATATATATATATATATATATATATATATCAGAGGTCGCGTTAACTGAATATTTTCCGTCATTGACATATTCTTTTCAGCAGTAATGGAAAAATCTGAAGGTGATCCGTCATTTCGACGGATTATGCTGAGGGTGATCTATTGTAATTTATAGCTAACTGTAATTCCCAGTCTTGTCCAGCTGACGGCGATTATCCTTGTTTTGTCTCCTCTTTGTGTACAGTTGCAAAAATGTCACAGTATATGACTGTGAGAAGTTTCTTTAAACGGCCAAATAGTTGGGATATGAATAATAAAGGGGAATAAAGAGGAAGTGATGCAGTGGACGATGAAAAACAAACAGACAAAAATCCTTAGTTGCCGACAGCTGTTACGAGCCAACCCAGCGGCAGCAAGGAGGTCAGGTGCTTTGGAGTGTGTTGTGAGCACTACCGAACGCAGAGGGGTGCAGAAGGAGCGCATGCTGTAGTATTTTTTCCCGGTGAAACGAATGCTTGCAGAATTGGGAAATCCCACACTCAGAGAATCCAACAAATTTAGTTCTGATCACAGATTTAGGAGAAATGTTTCTACTTTCTACTTAATGTTTCAACTACGAAACGCTGTCTGAAGTGGCGCTAGTAATTCCGGTCTTGGGTCACGATACATATATATATACACGATATATACACACACACACACACATATATATATACAGTATACACACACACACACACACACACACACACACACACACACATAAATATATACAGTATACACACACACACACACATATATATATATATATATATATATATATATATATATATATATATATATATATATATATATATATATATATATACAGTATACACACACACACATATATATATATATATATATAAATATATACATATATATATATATATATATATATATATATGTATATGTATATATATATATATGTATATATATGTATGTGTGTGTGTGTGTGTGTATACACATAGTAGGCTCTTTTCTTTATTAAAACTTTAACAATTTTTTTTTTGTTCAAACTTGCCTATATAGTAATGTGTCTTGGTAAAAACACATATACAGTTGAAGTCAGAATTATAAGCCCCCCTTTGAATTTTTTTTAATTGAATATATATATTTTTTCCAGATACAACAAAGTTCCATTCCAATGGCGGCTCATTGGTTGGATCCAGCCTCCGCGGCACACGGTCCAAGGCAGAGCTTCAGGAGTTGATGGAGAGCCTGCAGCGGAGGAAATCTGCTCTGGAGGCCAGCTTAAAGGCTACTGCTGACCGTGGGTACCTCACATTATCTCCACCTCCCAGCCCACAGTCGGCTTCTTCCTATCTACAGGACCGTCCACCACTTTCAATACGAGTCCCTTCCCCTTACTCACCCTCCAGTAGTTTGAGCATGCCGCCATCTCCCCACCAATCAGAGCGCCCTATAAGTCCAGTCCCAAACCAAACCCGTGCCAGACACCAATCGCAGGACAGCCTGTTGCTTTGCCACTCTTCAGAAGGGCGGCATCCCAACTCTTCAAACCCACTCTTAACTATGTGGAATGGCTCTTCATCCTCCTACGGGAACGATGCTCTTCTTTCATCTCGCAGAGGTCCAAGCGGGGCGGCCAGCATGCCCTCCAGCCCTCGTTTGGGGCGCCGTTTGTTAGCACGAGATGGCGAGTCCCCCATTGAACCATCACTTCGCCAAAGAAAATACTCCACCGGCTCTTTGAATGGCCTGGGCGGACATAGTCGCTCTCTGCCCCGGTTGTATCGAGGAGACGCCCCAATGCTGTCTTTGCCACCCCGACGTACCACCAAACCACGGCGCAGCTTTCCATCCATGGAGAAGCCTCCAGATGTGACTGTGATTGCCAATGTGAACAGCAGCTCACGGAGGGCCAGCCTCTGCTCTGTGGGATCTGCCCCATGCTTGGATCTGGGCGTTGGAGAAAGGCGACTGTCGTTTGGGAAAGGAGGCCTGGGGCCCGGCATGGGGCCGAGGAGGGGCAGCATCAGCTCTCTCAGTGGAAAAGAGGAGCTCAGAGATTACCATCAGAGACAAAGAGATGAGCGACTACGAGAACAGGAAGTGGAGCGACTGGTAAGAAGACCTGCACTCACTCAGAGGAACACTAGTGACACTAACTTTTAGGCTTCAAAGTTTTTGCTTTTGGATATAGGCAATGCAAGGCAAGTTTATTTATATAGCTCATTTCATACACAGTGGTAATTCAAATGCTTTACATCAACAACAATAAAAGACACACGTATAAGAAATAAAAACAACAGAGTAAAAGTGAATAAAAACTAGTGCTGTCAACCGATTAAAAAAAATTAACTAATTAATCGCACTTTTTTTTTTAATTCATCGCAATTAATCCCATTTAAAAGACTGAAACTTGTAATTTTGACTATTCAAATGTAAAATTAATGCAAACGCAAGAAAAAAAAAATTTATTTAAACTAACATTGTTTATTAGAATTTTTGTTTAACTTGTAACACAGATTTCTTCATGTAAACAACCCTCAATAAACCGTCAAGATCCTGACTTGACTGCCATATTTATTACAGAAATAAAAACACAGGCATGTTAATGCCATTTGAATTTTAAAACAATCAATGCCAATAAAGAAAAAATTATTTCCGTGTTGGATTGTAAGTTTAAGATTGTAAGACTACAAAAAAATGCCAAAATATAGGCATTACAGATATGGAAAATGGAAAATGGAAAATAATAATAATAATAATAATAAATTATTAAATACAAACAATTATACTCAATTATACTCATTCAATAACTCATTCAACTGCGTTAATTGGTTAAATTTTTTTACACGTTAAATATTTCAAATTAATCGCATGCGTTAACGCACTAATTTTGACAGCACTAATAAAAACAGATTAAAATGTGTTAAAACAGGTTTTAAAGGAATAAAAAATGAAAAGAAAGACAATAGTGTGATGTGTTTGATGTAGCTCAGTGCTCATTCAGTATAAGCATGGTACTGTCACAGTAAAATATACAGTACTGTGAAAAAGCCTTTCTGGAATAGGACTTTTGCAGATTTATCTGTGACCCTGGAAAAGAAGTCGAAAGTTTGACTTGTATATTTGTAGGAATGGGCAAAATTACATTGTCCAAAGACATGCGCTATAAGTGAATTAGATTAACTAAATCTGCTGTGTAAAACATATGCCGGTATAGTTGGCGGTTCATTCTGCTGTTGCGACCCCTGACAAATCAAGAAATAAGCCGAAGGATAATTGATGAATGAGTTCAAATTATCGATTTTTATTTTATGCCTAAAATCATAAGAATATTCATTAAAAATCATGTTCTATATATTTGTTTCCTTAAATATGTCAAAACCTATTTTTTTTTGTAATAAGCATTGCTTAGAACTTATTTTTAAACATCTTGAAGTGATGTTTTTTATAAACTAATTTCGAGAGGATCACGTGCTTAAGTTTGACCACTGCTGGTCTGCATTAGTCATCATATGATTTACAAATCAGACGAATCCAAATGTACATAAATAACCAGATTTCTTTAACCAGATTTCTTTCTTTAATCTGGTTATTTCAAGTCATCTTCCCTCCTCCCCTATTCCTCCCCCTCTTTTCTAGATTAATCTTGGACAGGGGGGTACAGCGGCTCAGTGGTTAGCACTGTTGCCTTACAGCAAGAAGGTCACTGGTTTGAGTCCGAGCTGGGCCATTTGGCCATCGGCATAGTATATGAGCAATTTAGTACTGGGCATTCACCGCATAAGTATATGCTGTTACAGTTGGCAGTTCATTTCGCCGTGGCAACCCCTAATAATCAAGGACTAGGGCTAGCAAATAAATTCAGGGGAGTTTTCAAGACCTACCTTGAGGATCTTCTGAGTTCAGGGCTCTTTTCCGGTACAGCATGCTAAACATGCTTCATTATCAATCATCAGCTAAGTATGAACTCTTAAAATGTTAAATATTAATTTTTAACACTTGTATCTCGGCCAAATATTGTCTTATCAAGATAAACTATTCAAGAATGGAAAGTTTATTTATTTATTTATTTAAAGCTTATTTCAGCTTTTAGGAGATGTATAAATCACATTTTCCAAAACTTTACGCTTACAGTATGTCTGATTTTGTGCTTCTGGGTCACAAATATGTATTTTACCAGCTTTTCCCCCCTACAGTTAGGATTTAACTGAATTAGCAGTGTGTGCTTCATGGGCCAAGTTGGCGATTCATTGTGCTTTGGTGACCCCAGATTAATAATAGGGACTAAGCCGGAAAAAAGTATTGAATGAATGAATTAGCAACGTGTTTTGTATCATTATCATGCTGAAAAATAAAACTATTATCGATGGGGTGCATTCTAGAAGGAATGGCATAATGGAATAAAACCTGTCTGTACTTGTCAGCATTCAGAATTATATCAGCTCAGACAGTATTCCCACCAACAATAGCAGAAATGCAGCTCTAACTTTCATGTTTCACTGAAGGCTTCAAGCACTCGTTCTTCCATCTCTCTTCATCTCTTAAACAATTTGACCAAAACTCTAACCTGTATTTTATGGTTTTATTCTAATAACAGGAAATGATGATATATGTTGTAATTATATATAATTATATACAATATGCCATCACTAAAACAACAAACATAAAGGGGGCCTAGACCTTTTGCACTGGGCTATGTATTTAGGGCCAGGTTTACCAACAGCGGGCTGCAATGTAATAGGATATTTAAAATGTAATATTTATAATCAAATTATATTGTAAACTCCAACATTTTAAACAATCTCATAAATAGGACGTGCAATAAATCCGGAGTGGTGTTGTTTTTTTGGCAGAAGAGGTAAATGTTACAGTCCAATTTCTGCAAAATAATTTCTGCAAAATCAGGATTTTTGAAGTGCTGCATTTACAAATATTTGATCCCAAATTGGTAAATACATGTTTTGACATTGTAATTATGGCGTGATTAATTACCAGCATTTAATTACATCTGTAATTCTGTAAAATATTTATTGACCATCCTTTACACCTTAACCCAGCTTTAAAACTAGCCATACCACAAAACATGTCCCTAACCCTACCCGTATCCCACCTCAAGAGCACCTGGAGTGCTCTGCAATACATTATAAACAAATTAAGTACATTGTATTTTGATTTAGTGTAAGTACGTATTAGTAAGGGCAATTATTTACTAAATATTATAAATAAATATGGTATATAAAATATACTAAACTGTTACTAATATTATATATTATTAGGGCATGCGAAGCAGTGGCGCAGTAGGTAGTGCTGTCGCCTCACAGCAAGAAGGTCGCTGGGTCGCTGGGTCGCTGGTTCGAGCCTCGGCTCAGTTGGTGTTTCTGTGTGGAGTTTGCATGTTCTCCCTGCATTCGCGTGGGTTTCCTCCGGGTGCTCCGGTTTCCTCCACAGTCCAAACACATGTGGTAGAGGTGAATTGGGTATGCTAAATTATCCGTATGTATGAGTGTGTGTGTGTGAATGTGTGTGTGGATGTTTCCCAGAGATGGGTTGCGGCTGGAAGGGCATCCGCTGCGTTAAAAACTTGCTGAATAAGTTGGCAGTTCATTCCGCTGTGGCGACCCCAGTTTAATAAAGGGACTAAGCTGACAAGAAAATTAATGAATGAATAATTAGGGTCATAAATAATTATTAGATTTTTACATTTTGTATGTTTTATATTGTATATTTTATTTGAATATACTTTATATGAGGAGTGCAAACTCGTTAGCTGATTTATGCTGGAGTCTTTGCAGTTGTAGCTTACTTTTATATGTGCGTGTATATACAGTTGAAGTCAGAATTATTAGCACCTCTTTGAATTTCTTTTTTAAATATTTCCCAAATGATGTTTAACAGAGCAAGGGAATTTTCACAGTATGTCTGAAAATATTTTTCCTTCTGGTGAAAGTTTTATTTGTTTTATTTTGGCTCGAATAAAAGAAGTTTTTAATTTTTTAAAAAGCCATTTTAGGGTCAAAATTATTAGCCCCTTTAAGCTATTGTTTTTCGATAGTCTACAGAAAAAAACATCTTTATACAGTAACTTGCCTAATTACCCTAACCTGATAGTGCTTACCACTGAGCCACTGTGCAAATATGATTTGGTTAGTAATACTGTATACATGTATCACATTTCTTTAAATAATAAAAGTATTAACAATAATAATAATTAAAAATTAATTGTTTTTAAAAAAAAATATTTTAATAAGATTTAGAAATTCACAAGAGGGCTAATAACTTTGTCTTCAACTGTATATTCATAAGTTCACAGAAATGATTAAGCAAGTTTATTTAGTCAATTTTTAAACTTTAATTCCCCTCTTTTCCTGTGACTCCAGTCCAGCTCTTTGGGTTTGAGTTTGCGTCCTTTGAGACTTTGGTTAGACATGAAAGGCTGCAGAGGACTTTGATCTGTGCCGTGTTCATGGCACAAACCATTATAACTGCGGTTCACTGCATTATTCACACGCTTTTATGTGCTGCAGACTTAATGAATTTACATTCACAGCTAAACCAAAACTTCAAGTGTGTAAATGAAGCAGCTGGTGTAAACAGATTTTTATTTTCATGTAGACCTTTACAAGAACTTGAAACTCTGCCTCTAGATTAAAAAGGTCACATGATAAGTGAGTTAAAGCTCTGCATCTGTGTTCAAGCATCTGATCTGACTCAGGGGCGGGTGCGCTGGCTGCTTGTGTGTTTGTTTGTGTGCTGCTAAATTAGGCCAAATCCCACAACCCGCTGCTAAAGAGGCGTCTTTGATGCAAATCTAAACAGCACATATAATGTATACTCTAGTATTTCAAAGATTAACTACAGGCTGTTTAGTCAGTGAGATTTGTTTGTATTATTATTGATCACACACACAAATGCTTACATTTAGCATGATGTTGGGTTATCTATGGGTTGCATAAACAGCATCTTAAAGGGAAAGTTCAACTCAAAATATTTTGTTTGGTTGTAAAAAAATAAGCTTTTTTTGACAAATATGGGTTGGAATATTGCCATATTTTGTGCTAATTTAAATTATTAAAATCCGGTAAAAATGTTTCTGTTTTTTTACTTATAAATGTTTATTTCATCTCGAGGGTGACAGGGTGGCTCAGTGGTTAGCACCGTCGCCTCACAGCAAGAAGGTTGCTAATTTGAGTCCCGGCTGGGCCAGTTGGCATTTCTGTGTGGAGTTTGCATGTTCTCCCAGTTCGTGTGGGTTTCCTCCGGGAGCTCCGGTTTCCCCCACAGTGCAAACACAGTATAGATGTTTCCCAGTATTGGGTTGCAGCTGGAAGGGCATCCTCTGTGTAAAACATATGCTGGATAATTTGGCGGTTCAATCTGCTGTGGTGACCCCTGATGAATAAAAGAACTAAGCTGTTAGATCAGGGGTTCCCAAACTTTAGCCCTGACCTCCAAAATAACAATGCCAGTGACTCACGACCCCCAATATTCTCTGAGGTGGTTTTAAATATATAAACTTTGCACACAACAGCGCACACATACCAATAGGTAAAAGTCTATTCATTGTTTATTTTTGGAGAACACCACTTGGAGACCATCGTCCATGTGTAGTTGTGGCCTGTATTTGTTTTGTAATGTATGTGATTGCTGTAAAGGTGTCAGAAAGTTTAACCTGGTGTCATAAAATCAATGCGATGCATCTCATGCTATTGCTGTGTCTTTAATATAATGTAATCACCCCAGGGGTCACACATAAATCGAAAGGCTGATGGCTTTTATTTGCATGTTGTCTTTTGTTGTGTCTTATTAACATGTTAACAATGTTACTATTAACTACTGTCTTGTTCTTCAGTAGGTTATGAAAAAGATATGTTAATTCTAATATTTCAATAAAATTATTTCGATTTTTGGAAATCTAATTTCCAAGCAACACCCCTCATTGTCCTGAGACTCCCTGAGTGGTCCTCACCCCCACTTTGGGAACCACTGCATTAGATTAGTCAGTAACTAAGCCAAATCTGGAGCTAATCTAACAAAATACAAAAAAATAAATTAAAATAGTAGTCCTACTAGTCCAAACTTAAACACTAAATACTGAACTACACTGTTCCAATTTACTATGATCTTTTATGTGAAGCTGCTTTGACACAATCTACATTGTAAAAGTGATATACAAATAAAGGTGAATTGAATTGAATTGAATATGTTAGGGAAAAAATAGTAAATAAAAATGTAAAAATTAGGCAAAATCAAGAGAAACAAAATATATATAAAATATTGTTAACATTTTGTAATTTCTATTTAATTTTTTGCAATTTTTCACATTATTTCATGTCCATTATCTCTCTGTTTCTAAGTATGTTTGGTGACTAAAATATTATTTCAATAAATATATCTGTTTAATAAATCTGTTTTGTTCAAATACACTTAAATATATTGCCTATGTTCACTGGAAAATAGATAAAAATATTAATTTTCAAAATGTGATGATGCACTCGTTTATGCTAAGGACTACTTAAAACTTGTACATAACCTGTGGGTTTAAAGAAAGTTCCCCATGTGACTTTTTTTCTTTTTCTTTTTTTCATTTCTTGATGACTTATTTTTCCCCCAGTTTCTGTTTAACGTAGGGAAGGTTTTCTTGAACACATTTCTAAATGTAATTTTTTTTAATAACTAATAACATAATATTTGACAGTTTTTCAAGATACAAGATGACATTTAAAGGCTTAGTAAGGTTAATTACAGCAAGTTAGGGTAATTAGGCAAGTCATTGTACAACAGTGGTTTGTTCTGTAGACTATCAAAAACAATATTGCTTAAGGGTGCTAATAATTGGCAATGAAATGGTTTAAAAGATATAAAAACTGCTTTCATTCTAGCCAAAATAAAACAAATAAGACTTTCTCTAGAAGAAAATATATTATCAAAAATACTGTTGAAAATTCCTTGATCTGTTAAACATCATTTGGGAAATATTTAAAAAATAATAATCTTGACTTCAACTTTAATTCCACTGTCCTTTTTTTAGGAGCGTCAGCGTCTGGAGACCATCCTGTGCCTGTGCTCTGAGCTGGGACGCACTGAAGTGAGTCGCATGGAGAGCGAGCCGAACACCTCTGCTGTTTCAGACCTGCAGAAGATCAACCGAGAGCTGGAGAAGCTTCAGGTGTCGGACGATGAGTCGGTGTTCTCTGAGTCTGCCTCTGTGTCTGTGGACGGAGGAGTGTTTCTGGGTAAAAGTCGAGGAGAGATACTGAACCAGAGACAGCGCAGAGTCAGCGGACACAGAGAGAGCAGGCCTCAGTCTCCCAGCAGCAGTATGAGGAGCACAGCACCCTCCCCATCACCACACCTCCGCTGCAAGGTCAGACACGATATATACTGGTATAAACAGGGTTCCCACGCTTCTTGAAAGTACTTAAAAGTGCTTGAATTTCAGACATGTGGATTTAAGACCTGGATGGTGCTTAAAATCAAACACAGGTCCTTGAAAGTGTTTGAATTAAATTTGAAATAAAATATGTTTTTTTTTTCAAGAATTGTTCACAATTGTCAAAAACAGAACAAAAAAATTATAAATTCTTTAATTAAAATTTAAATCTTGTACATCATCACTGACAAATAAAGCATATTTTTAAAAAAATATTTTAGAAACTGCTTTTAAATATTAACAGTATTTAATTCAACAAATTTGATTTAAGTTCTTTGAACATGACTGCATAAAATGGTAAATTTTTTAAAAATTACTTATATTTTTTACATAAATATTAAGTCTAAGTGAAATATTAAGTACAGTTAGGACTTTCATGGTGCTACATATGCTGGGGTATGACTTACAACGGTGTTTGATTTAAAATTAATGATGCTTTTAAAAGTCCTTGAAAGTCCTTGAATTTGTTGTTCATGAAAGTGTGGGAACCCTGTATAAAACACTGAGAATTATTTATCCATCATGCTGCAAAACAGTCAAGATGACTGTCTGGGTCAAACTCACAAAAGACCAGATTATTGTGGTTTTAAGAAAATTATAATCATTCAGTTATTTTTTTTCAGCTGAGTCCTTTTTATTAATCTGGGGTCGCCACAGCGGAATGAACCACCAACTAGCATTTATTTAATGCAGCGGACCCAATCCTTCTAGCTGCAACTTATCACTGGGAAACATCCATACACACTCATTCACACATACACTATGGGCAATTTAGCCTACTCAATTCACCCGTACCACATGTCCTTAAACTGTGGGGGAAACCGGAGCACCCGGATGAAACCCACACCAACACAGGAAGAAGTGATCTTCTTGCTGTAAGGCAATCGTGCTACTCACTGCGCCACCGTGTCGCCCAAAATTATAATCATGTTTATTAATAGTTCTAATTAAAAAAGGAACTAAAATCAAATCTGTAATAACTATATTAAAACTAAATGGGTAAATGTAAAGGATAAACTAAAAATAGTTTTCATATTTTGCTTAACTGGATTAGTGATGAGACTCCATCGTTTAAAGGTTGGCACAAGATAATTTTGAGTTATTTCCCTTGTCTTACCATTGTATTACACACAAAGACAGGACAGTTTTTCAATGTCTGGACTCTGGACATTGGATTATTTGGAAACCATTCTTTGTATTTCTATTCTTATATTCTTATATATTATATTTATTTTTAGTATTTATATTTATATATTATATTTAAAAACCGAAGGTACATCTGCTCACAGGTTATTTTTTTCTTTTTTTTCTTTTTTTGCAAATCCACCAGAAGCCACTTTGTACGCTTTATGATGATGTCGAATTTCTCTCGTGCGTCTACTTTTCACGTAAATCCACCTGAGGGCGCAATATACACTTCAGCTGACCAGGCCAGCTTGCTGTCGATTGACTCACTGAACGACCCACCCACCCTCTTTCCTAAACCCAACCGCTAGTGTTGTCATAAGCAATCTAGGAAAAGAAAAGCTTTTATCCTATTTATTTAAACTTTTTTGCTTTTGTTTTACATCAGGGGTGTCAAACTCAGTTTCTGGAGACTAAACTGCATAGTTTAGTTCCAACCCTGCTTCAATACACTTACCTGTAGGTTTAAAACAAACCTGAAGGACTCAATTAGTTTGATCATGTGTGTTTAATTAGTATTAAAGCTAAACTGTGCAGAGCTGCCGTCCTTCAGGAACTGAGTGTGCATCTAAGCTTTACCTGGTTTCTGGAACTGTTCTTCACCAGACTCGTACACCATTGTTGCAGTCAATTCCGATCTGCGTCTCAAGTCCGATGACAAATGTGGCGAGCGAGTGAACAAACTGGTAACACTGGAAAAGCCATCCACATGGAGGTTAGTGGTCAGTAGCGCGAAAAGAAACAGAAGCCGTCAGCGGCATCATACTGGCCCATAGTGTCGGTTTAAAGACTAAATGCAGCCAGACGTATCTCTGGCTACATAATTTGCACTATCCATAAATATAAACAGGGGTAGGTATCCACAATGAGACTGTGTTGCAAAGAAAGCATACAACTGTGTACTCTATATCCCAGACTGAAGTATTGATACAGTGGAAACTATGCAGTCCTCTGGGATCTAAAGTATGCAAAACAGTCTGAGAATGCCGAGTCTTTATACCTGACACACTCTCTGTTGATGTGTGTTTCTAAACAGCACGACAGAATGAACTTTGACCTTTTAAAACACTGATCCCGCACTCCAGCTGAAATGAGTTTTAAAACAGATTCTGTCTGTATTTGAAGCACATAAGGTGTCGATTGCAGCTGGAGAGCAGAAGCAGTGTTTTTCCATCCGATGCCTATAATGACATAATGGTGCGTTGGAGTTTAATAGACTTTCTCTGGAGAGAAGAGCAGTCTTTGCCTTTCCTGCAATAGGAGAGGAACAGGAAATGACTCTATTCCCTGTGGATTTGCTGTGCATATGTGTGTGCCGATGTGCTCAAGACACACGTGACAGTAATTGTTGGAAAGAAACAGAAATTCAGATCTGCATGTCATTTCCAGCACGTTTATTCATTCCTTTGAAAATTATTTCTTAGTGAAGGATCAAGTTACACAGTTGCTAATGTTAATGACTTTTTAAAAAAAATATTTCCCAAATGATGTTTAACAGAGCAGTGAATTGTTCACAGTACTGTATGACTGATGATATTTTTTCTTCTGGAGAAAGTCTTATTTGTTTTATTTCGGCTAGAATAAAAGAAGCTTGTCATTTTTTCAAAGTGCATTTTTATTATTGCACTTAAGCAATAGATTTTTTGATTGTCTGCAAAACAATCTTTTATACAGTAACTTGCCTAGTTAAAACCCTGCTCACACTGTGAGATTTCAGCCATGATTTTGTCATCTGAGACAAAATTTGGAAATCCTAAAAAATTACTGAAATTATAGGCTAAAATCTGTGATCTTTGATTGTTGGTTTGACATGTTCACAGACAGCCGATTAATGCCCGTTGTCATCAAATGTTTCCTCTGATGAAGTTCTGGCAGTGTCAGAAGATTTCAGACACTTTTTCTGCAGTGTGAGAACAGCTGCAATCAGCATCAATCCAAGAAGCAATAGGAGTGCAGAATCTGCTGACGCAATCCATGCAACAATTCAAACAACCACAGGGAAATGCCAAAACAGTTTTTTTTCTTTCTGGTTTTATTATTGAGACATGCCGTGTGCAAAATTGCCGCTACAGATTGTTTAAGTTTGCTGTAAGAAATCATTTCAGAACGTGGGATATTTAAAGTGTCACACGTGGATGACGTCAAGCTCCGGGGTCGTTTTCTTCTAAGTTTGACACGTCTTCATTGCCATTCAGTCTGACTTTATGACAGTTGAGATCTTACAGCGGGACTTGGGAGCCATGTTCTTGGAGTCTGACATGCTACAATCATTAAGGACTATAAAAAAATCGCACGGTGTGACCCGGCCTGAACCTAATTAACCTAGTTAAGCCTTTAAATGTCCCTTTAAGCTGAATAGTATCTTGAAAAGTATCTAGTGAAATATTATGTACTGTCATCATGGCAAAGAAATTGGGCCAAAAATATACAGGGGGTTAATAATTGTGACTTCAACTCTCTACACCGTTTGAGAAAAAAAGTTCCGACCCCTCATTTGTGTGTATTGTCATTTATTCTCATTTATGCACTAAAATTGTCAGAGGAAATTGGCAGACAAAGTCAAAATTAAGCTTTACTAAGTTGATAATTGTTTTTTTCATTATTATTTCATACTGAGTAAAAATTCTTGAATAAAAACACAAAATTTTGACTTAAATCATAATAATGAGATATAATACTGATATTAAAGTCATAACGTCTACTTATTTAGTCAAGATTTGACCTTTTAAAGTTGCAATTTCGACATAGAATTAGTTCACCCAGAAGTTAAACTTCTGTTATTATTTACTCATGTTGCTCCAAACACAGAAGGCCTTCAATAGGCCTAATGGTTATAAAGTGTCTTGTGTTTGGAAGGGCGCTGGTTCGAGTCCCGGCACTGGAAGGGATTGAAGGTGGTGGAAGTCCTTTGGTTAAAATTTTCTGCTGAATGCTTAAATGGAATAAATGGACTTTCACTGTCATATCATCTTATGCACCGTTTCATAATTTAGTTCATAATAGTCCAAAAATTGATGATAATAGTTAAACAAGGCAGTTTGTTCATCTTTTAAGTTGCTGAAAGAATCGTTGGCTCCTTTTTCCGGCTTCTCCTTTGTTTTGTTTTTTTTCTTCACTCTCGCATTTTTCCATTTCTGAAAGGATGCCAGAAGAACTTCAATAATCACGCGCACGTTATTATCATCAGTTCAAGAAGTTTGTTATTTCAAACATAGACACGCACACGAGCGATCGCAAGGGAAACTATTTCTGCATTAGATGGCCTCGTAAACAACTAGAGCAGTGGTTCTCAAACTGTGGTACATGTACCACTAGAGGTACGCAGGCTTCCTTCTAGTGGTACGTGGAGGAATGAAATATGTCATGTACATGCTACACATATTTCAAAATTTATTAAAAATGATGTATATAATATGCCATATGGCATATAGCCTATATTTCTGAGATAATCTGCCACGTTTTTTTAACTGTGCAGGGTTGTAGCTGCTTTACTGGGCCTACTACGCTACTGTATTTCAATATTGTTCATTTTGGTGGTACTTGGAGAGACTATTTTTTTCTGAGGTGGTACTTGATGAAAAAAGTTTGAGACCCACTGAACTAGAGGAAAATGCTGATTTTGTTCTTCTTGGCTTTGTGGCTGTTCATCAAGACGACAACAAGGTTTGTTTGAGCTTGGGTCGACCATGGCTTGTTATTATATGTATATAGTGCTATGATGTAATGTCTCTGCTGTGTTTTTAAAAATGCCACTTCCCTTGTTTTCATTCTCCTGTCTTGTGTAAGTGCTAGTGATGCTTCTCTGTAAACCAATAGTGTTCAGCTGTGCATCTAGCTCCGCACTTTGGTGCCCACTTGTTGTGCTAGGTACCGTTTGGAAAGGGTACCCAAAAAGTGGTACTGTACGGTTCGTTTTTTGATACGTTTTGACAGTTGAAACGACTATAAAAGCCGACCGACCCGTACCATATCGTACCACTTAGTCAATCAAAGATATTCTGGATGTAATGTGAAAGATGTCTGATTTAAGGTTCGCAACTTATTTAAGTCCAGAAAAGGAACCAAAAATACCATCAAACATTCCATATAACTTTAGTGGTTCAACTGTAATCATGTGAAGCTCCAAGAACACTTTTGTGCACCAAAAACCTGTAAAAACAACTTTGTTCACCAATGTCTTGTCTTTTATATTCGGTCATCAGGGTACATATTTACTACATTCAATACAACGTATTTCCATTAAAGTCAGCCGTCTCAGGGATTTGGAACAACTAGAGAGCGAGTAATAATTTTTTTGTGAACCAACCCTTTAATCTTTGTCACAATTGATCATTTTTATGCTTAGTTTTTTTTGTATCACACTTGCAGAATGAGCACCAAAACAAATCCGTGGTTTTTATGAGAAGCAGACTGAAAAATTAAATGCCTTTCCCTTCATATGCATAAGCTCATCCACTGATGGGTATTTCTGGTAAATGTCAAAAGCTTGGAGATCAGACGCCATTATCAGACAGAGACGGCTCTGTAGTCCTGCATCTGTTTTAGTAACATTCCTCTGCGCTGTCACTGGAAACCTCGTGGCCTCAGAAACAGCCAAGTTAACTATCCATAAAAAGCTGCATATTATTTTAGAGTTCAGTCTCATGTCAGGCCTGAATGTCTCTGCTTATGATTGTCTAATCCTTCATAACAGTCAAAATCAGAAAGTTAAGGTGTTGTGTATAGGATGGGCAGTATATAATCATAGTTAACCTGCAGTTATACAGTATACAGTGTCATTTCCAAAAAGGTGATGTTTATGTGTGTATAAAACATTTGCAGTAAAGTGTATTTGTGTATTGCTTAAGATTTTGTGTTGTTTGTTTTGTAAGTGAAACTATCAGTATGTTCCTGTCATAGAATATCTTTACAACATTATTACTTTTAATCCATATAAACACTGTCCAATAGCAAACCACAACCATCCCAACTTCTCTTGCCGGGTTTAAAGTATACCTGAATTTTTTCATCAGGTGTCAGAAGACATGCAGCTGAGGCAGGAAGTGACACGGATAGAAGAGGAGAGGATTCAGGTGCTCAACAACATTGAGGAACTTGAACAGAAGATCAGAGATCTGGACACCCAGATGGACGAGTCAATCAGAGAGGTGTGTGTGTGTGTTTGTGTGTGTGTGCACGAGAAGCTTTGTGTGTTGTTAACTGAGCTGTCATGTTTAGTAGACGTCAGGTTAATAAAAGGTAAAATCTGAAACTATAAATTATATATTTTTATACAATAGTATCTATGTTGATACTAAAATAACACTGGTGAGCATTCCTGTAGCAGAGCAGTAGAGCGTGGCATTACCAATGCCAAGATCACGGGCTCAGTTCCCAGAAATCGCAAGCCGTTTCAAATAAAAGCAACTGCCAGATGCATTAATGTACATTTTTTCATGTCTGCCAGCAAAAATCTCTCAAAGATTGTTCCCAAGACTTAAATATGTTAAAGAAATTCATCCTGCAGGGATTTTTTATCTTTATAAATGGCTACAGGATTTCCCAATATTCTGATTCTGCTTTAACTTATTTTTTTTCTTTTTCTTTTTTTTTACAGCTTTTATTTTAATTTTAGTTAAATAAGTTGTAACTGTTTTTGTTATCTGTGTTTATCATTTTGGTAAATATTTCTGCATATTTTTATTTTTTACATTCAACAAAAGTACAATAAAATTAATAATAACAAAAATGAATTAAAAATTAATTCATATAAAAATTTGATTGATCTGGTTATTTATCTGCTACATGTATATAGAAAAAAATTCTATATACACTACCTGACAAAAGTCTTGTAGATCCCAGTTGTAGGAACAACAAATAATAACTTGACTTCTAGTTAATTATTTGGAAAAGTGGCAGAAGCTCGATTTTTTTCCTGATGAATCATGTGTTGAACTGCTTCCAAATCATCACAAATACTGCAGAAGACCTATTGAAACCCGCATGGACCCAAGGTTCTCAGAGAAATCAGTCAAGTTTTGTGAAGAAAAGGCGTTTGACGCAGAAGTATAAATCAGCCTTGAGATATCAAGACATCTGTGCTGCCCATTACATTACAATCCACAGGAGATTTTTGATGTGATAAACAAATTTATCACATCGAAGTTCCTGAAAACAAAGAAGGTCAAGGTGCTCCAGGATTGGCCAGCCCAGTTACTAGACATGAACATTATTGAGCATGTCTGGGGTAAGATGGAGGAGGCATTGAATATGAATCCAGAGAACCTGGATGAAGTCTGGGAGTTCTGCAAAAACACTTTCTTTGCCATTCCAGATGAATTTATTAATAAGTTATTTGCGTCATTGCAGAGATGTATGGATGCAGTCCTCCAAGCTCATGGGAGTCATACACAATATTAATTCTTTTTCCACTGCACTATGACTTATATATAATATATTATATATATACAGTATATATTCTATACTGTACATTATTTCTGTTGAATGACAAGACTTATGTTTAGGCAAAGTCAGACCTTACTGTCATAATTAAATAATTAAAAGTCAAGGCATGATCATATTTTATTTTGGTAAAATAAATGCAATATAGAGGCCTTTGCCTTTCATATAAGCCGCTTTTGATACCAAATGATCAACTAGAAGTCAAGTTCTTATTTGATGTTACCAAAACTTGGAAAGACAACAAGACTTTAGTCAGGTAGTGTAGTATATACACTTTGTTTCAGAATATAGAGTAAACTGTGTTATCTATAATCATATTTGAACATCAAAATTCAATAGAAATGTAACAAAAATTAACTGATGCAATGTGTGTTTTTTTATTGGTGAAACTGACTGGTTATTAAGTACTTTACTTTTTTTTTTCAGTTTTCTTTCAACGTATTTCAGTCAACTGTATTTTTATCTCAACTGTATTTCAGTAAACAAGTCTGATTTGAGTAATTTTAACGTGAGTAAGACTCTCAATCTGTCATCAGATGGAAGTGGAGAGAGCACTTTTAGATGGCGAGCAGGAGGCAGAAGTGACTCAACTACAGAGTGATAAAGAAATGCTGGAGCAGCTCAACGAAAAAATGGGCAACATGGAGAAGAACTCTCAAAGGAATCAAACTCAGGTAAACATCAGACAACAATTCAAATGTACAGCCTAAAAAGACTGAAAAGATTATAACAAAACTGAAGTATAAGGTCTCATTCACTAAGCATACTTAAAGTGCCCCTATTAAGCTATCCTAAAGTCTAACAATTCTAAAAAAAAAAAATAAAAAAAAACTTGTGTGATATATGTGCATCCATACAAGGTTTTGTCACTATTTACACTGCAGCATCAACACTGTTTAGACCGTATCTGAAATGGATTAAGAATCTGGGCTCTATTAACTCTTAAACCACTCATGAAACAGAATTTTAAAAAAAAATTCAAATGAATGTTGTAAACCACATCGTTTCTGATATCTTCAACATTTGTAAACCATGCTGGTTAACCATATAAATTCAAGCTTAAGTCTTTATCCATAAACTAATTGTCTTTGCAAAATTGAAAACAGCATCTTCTTGGCATCACTTCCAGGTCTCAGATAAAACTTCAGTGTTTGAGGGCCAAAGTACAGTAGATGTAGTTCACCAGCAACAGCCAGTGAAGAACAGCAGCCAGTGGAATTATGCAAATTCGGTATAACCTAATAAGATGCAGGAAGTAATGATAAAATTACTGACAACTGGTTTCAGGCCATTTGGAATTACTTTTTACTTTAGTGAGAGAAAAAATCCTTTTATTGTGCTCTTTGAGTTTTAAAATTCTTAACGCCTTGTGTTAATAAAGCTATATAAGAAACATGCCAAGTGAACATTCTTGTTTATCTAAAAAACAATGCTGAAGTCAGATATTCTGTTTTGAAAATGTGCGTTACGTGCTGGAACATCTGTCTTTGTTTTGGTCAATTAACCCACCCAGTGTCAGTTTAGCCAATTATATTTCAGCACCTCGGGTTGCCTTGATGAAAAATCACGTATTTCATTATTCAGTCAGAAAAGCTCATAAAGTATGCATCCGGGACAAAAATGCGACCTCTAGTGGACAGTAACAGACTCTGAAATAAGACGCAGATTCAGAGTTCCACATGAGGTGGTTATTAATTAGCAAATAATATAAATATCACAAATGTAAATATTAAGTGAGCAGGTTACATTGTAACCGCATGTCCTAACGCACTACGTGGGGAGATTTGCAGTGATAAGCAATTAAGCTGTTTGCACCAGACAAAACACGACAAAAAATTGATTACATCAATTTTAAAGCACAGAATCGTGCACTTACTGCACTCCAACAAAATATTAAGGTTTATAATCTAATTAATACATATTAAATCTCATAAACATTATTAAATGTACATGCTGAATCACTGATATGTGTTGGCTTGCACTGAACTTTCATTTCAAATGGTGAACTTTCTGTTGCTGCTTTCAGTAGTATGGCAGTAAATGTCCTGTATAATGGCATTCAAAGCAAGTAAAATTCCATACAAAGTAAATGTAAACGCACAAAAAGAGGAATGCACAATGCGTTTGCTGTAAACACACAGAATTCCTTTTAATCATGTCTTTCATGCAAGTTCAAATCATTAAACTCAAGCAAAAAATTAGCTTGAGGTGAAAAAGATCTCACGAGTAAACTAGCGCAAGTGACGTGATGCTTTGTGTTTGGTGTGAACACAGCATAATTATTTGCGTAAGTAAATTACATACAAATTCAATGCAAACTTGTGAAAAGAGGCTAATTTCCATTGGGTGTTGCGACTGATGCAGAATCTTTTACACAAGTTCAAAAATTCAACATGAGCATAAAATTCAGTAGGCAGAAAACTTCTCTCGAGTAAACTAGAGCGAGTGAAGTTATTCACATTTACTTTGTGTTTGGTGTGAACCTAGCATACACTCAAAGTTATTTAGCTGCTTGTTCAAACTAATAAATTTAAAATGAGCTAAATCAATTCAATTCTTGAGTTGGGACCAACTTAATTGTTTTATGTTAAATCCAATTAAATTTATAAAAACAATTAAATAAATCTATTTGTGTTGGACCAATTGTGAGGAACCCAGTGTTTTTTACCGTGTAATAGTTGCACTTTAATAAGTTTGCCGATAAGACTAAAGTAGACTTCAGCACTCTATTTGTAAATGACACTCACCGACATTGCATCTACCAACTTTTTTCCAGTATACCTCTTGCTTTAACCCGACTTATTCTTGCACTTTCTCTGTTTCTGTGTCCGTCATTTTTGTGTCCGTCTCATATCTGTGTGCTCTGTACGTGCACGTCATCCATTCGCTGCCACTGTGCTGTAGGACAAAGCCCTGTTGGAGGCTGAGAGAGATAAAGTAGAGAGGCTAGCTGAGCTGATCTCAGAACAGAAGACCCAGCTGGACTCCTGTCCTGAAGCACTGAAGGAGCAGCTCCAGAATCAGCTGTCCAGGGTCAGTCAGTTATGGTGGTCTCCGTCAGCCGTGCGGCCTGCTGTTCTGGTGTCTGTCTCTCATAAACTCTTCCTCTTGTGTTTTTCCTCTCTGCACCAGCTCTGGAAAAACCGTTTGTTCTTGTTGGTAGGCCTTTCTTCTCTGTGTCTTTGAAACATTAACATTTATTTAGGGCTGGGCAATAAAACGATAGCAACAATTATTATGAAATAATTTTCCTTAATGAAATTATAAAATGTTTGATGTAATGGTATAATCAGTGTGCGAATTAAACATTGAGGATCAGGGGGGTCTACGTTTTGGTTAGATTGTGCAATACATGCTTCAGTCATTTGTGTATTTATTTTTAATTGGATCTAGTTTATTAACAAAGCTTATTTAAGTTTTCAGTGTTTTGAGGGATATTTAGTGTATTCTGGCTATTTCAGACGTTACTATAGGTAAAACTGCGTCTAATTTGACTTCACTTACAGGCTATATGTAGATAAAACACCTGTTTTACGAGAAAACAGTCTTCTGAACATATGACATCTATCTGTGCTCTAGATCTGCCAGTTTCAGACTGTTGAATAATTTTTTTTCTTAAATACTGATTGGTGCGATTAAGCATTTGCAATGGTATGAATCATTATAGCATGGTCAAATTTATGTTATATATTATTTTAATTATTAATTAAAATACAGATCAGCGTGAACTTTTTTTCTGTATTAAATAACAGACTCTCCTATACATATTGTTTTGACATCCTTCAGGGGGGATCTGATAATTCTGGGGGTCAATCCTCCATAACCCCCCCTTTAATTCGCTCCCTGGCGTCACTAGCTGGGTTTCCATCAAGTGTTGCATGAGAAGCAATGGAACTGGCAAAAATTAATTTGTGAAAGTTTTTACATTCACTTGAGGTGGATTTGGACTTGACATAAACCCTTTTGCTGAATAAACTCTGATGTAGCAAACATAACATCTACATGACCATTGTTTAGTACAGCCAGCTGCTCTAACAACAAAATGAAAATGCTTCTAATTCACTTTTGGATTTTTACATTTTTGAGAAGAAATTTGAAAAGATTTCCTTAAAAAATTGTAAAAAGATGGAAACCCAGCTACATGGTGTTTATCTGTTTGAACAAATTGCAGCAGGAGTATAGGTTTGTAACATGTGGAAAGCATGAATAGATCTGACTGAACACGAATGTGATTTATTTAAAGCCATTTAGAGAATAGGAGAAACACTTATTAGCTTATTCCATGGATTTACTATAGTACCAGTAAAACTACTCCATGATAATGTGGCAGGACTTGGAGATATGAATATTGATTTGAATAAATTGTTAATCTATACATGTATTTGTTGTTGTTAAGCTAAAACATTTTTGCATTTCTGTTTATGCTTAATGCATCCAGGCTAATGTTTTTTATCGCAAAATCACATTATAACATGCTTTATTCATTCATTCATTTTCTTGTCGGCTTAGTCCCTTTATTAATCCGGGGTTGCCACAGCGGAATGAACCGCCAACTTATCCAGCAAGTTTTTACGCAGTGGATGCCCTTCCAGCCGCAACCCATCTCTGGGAAATAACTTGCTTTGTGCGCTCAAAAAATGACGGTTGCTATTTGTTCAAACTACTTATTTAAAATGAGCTGAAATATCACAATTCTTGAGTTTTTTGGTGAACAGCTTAATTATTTTATATTCAATTCACTTATATTTGTAAAAACATATAAGTAACTTAATTCCGTCATGTTGTTCCAACACAAATAGATTGTGTGGAACTCAGCATTTTAATCAGGGTGTGATTTTTACAGTGTGATAATAATGATTATGTAAATGTTATTATAGATTACAATGTTTAATTTTAATAAAATTGAAATCTGAATATTAATAACATTTTACAAATAATTGGTTATTATATTTACAGGTTATTGTTTTACTGAACATAAATAAACATTTGCATTGTGTGCTCAAACTCAGGACATAAATACCTGTTCATGATATCATGATATCTTCTGTTAGAACATGCAGGAAATAAAGGATAATAGGAAATATAAAGGAAAAAGAGTATTAAATAAGACTACTAAAAAGACTTTAAGACTAAAAGATTAAGTTTTCTTGAATTTTAAACATTGTTTGACTTGTGTTTGTCATGTTTTGACTATAAAAAAGGGCAAATGATCAATTTTTGGCTTCAATAGATGTCACTCAAAAATTTGAGGGGATATAAAAAATATATTATTATAATTTTACTGTTTTATTTAGCCATATCGCCCAGCCCTTCCTCTAGTCTCTTTGCTGTGTAGCAGAATCCTGTGACTATTTTGTTAGTTTAGTTTTAAGTTGCACCACTATGCAAAAAAAAAAAAAAACCATTGCCTCATGCTAAGTGTTTTTTCCCCTTTTTCTTTTCTTGCTAGGACACTGAAGCTTTGGAAGCGGAGAAGAAGCGCTTTGAAGATATGGAGTTTCAGCAGCTGGAGAAGGAGAGCTGTCAAGATGAAGAGACGGAGTCGCAGATGCAGCAGCTCCTCAGAGAGATCGCAGAATACCAGAGATCAGTCGTCTCTCGCAAGGTGTGCTGATAAATGCAGTCCTCGAGTGTTTTTTTTTTTTAATTAAAGTGTTCATTCTCCACATATAAACTCTCTTCATTGTAGGAGAGGCTACTTACCCTGAAGAAGCAGTCGACTCAGATTACCCAGCAGGCACAGCGGGAGAAGGAGAACTTCTTGAAGGAGAAGAGCAACCTCATTTATATGCTGCAAAGAGTGAGTATTAATAAAGAAGTGGATGCATTTTCACCAATGTTTACATGTAATTCGGTGAAACATCAGCTAATAAAAAGTCTTGTCAGGCTTATTTAAAACAAGAATCATTTGATCACATATTAAAATCCTTTCACTGTCTTTTAAAGTCTATATTTTGATGCAAGAGTTTTTTTTTTAGATTTTAAGCTGGCAAAACATATCTTAGTTCTTCATTACTTTGTTGATCTAAAGAACCATTGTTCTACATTATTACATGCAGTGAAATTAGACCCCTTTTGGCCATAATAGCCAGGAGGAATTGTTCTGCGGGGGACGTTCATAGAATCTTAGAATCATGCTAAGATGTTGAATATAAATGAATTTTTAAGTATATTTAATTGATATTTAAAATGTATTTATATTTAATTTAGTGTGATCCCAAACTCTTGTTTTATATTTTAATAAGTACAGATCAGAATAAGTATGTTGTTTAATTTTTACAGAAATGTATATTATGCTAAATGATGTTGGAAAACTATTTCATCCATATTTTGACATTTTCAGGAAGCTAGTTAAATTAAACAATAAATTAGACTCTTAAGCTTACATATAAAATGCTTTCAATTTATATAAAATCACTTTTGTGAAATGTTTTTATTGATTCATTTGCATATTTTTTCCATTTTATTTCAATTTCATTTTAATTTTTTTATAAAATATATTTATGCATAGAAAGAAACACTTAACACAAACCATAAATAATGCTCATTTTCTTAAGCCTTGGAGAAAAAAAAAAGAGTAAAAGATTTATGTTTAAATTACTTGTCTATACAAGTATTTGTGGGAAGAACACAAATACTCGCGCATCTCTGGAACCAATCCCAATACGTGATAAAAAGCATAATTTATATTACACAAAGTTGGTTAATTAATGTTCCACTAACTAAAAAAAATGAGTTATACGTGTATAAAGTTTAAAGAAGAAGCTTGTTTTGCTTGACAAATGTTTTTGTTTTTTGCTCATTTTTCTTCAGGAACGAGAGAACCTTTCGTCTCTGGAAAGGAAGTACGCTGAGCTGACAGGTGGACAGGCGTTTCCTCTTAACCCTGTGTCCATGAAGGAGGTAAAGCAGAACATTTTTTTGAGTAAAGAAGAATTGTACTTACAGTAGTGTTCCCGCAGGTCATGAAATTTTTGCAATGTCATAGAATTTTAAAAGGTCTATTCTAGTTGTTTACAATTGAGGAATTTTATGTTGTTGTTTTTTTATTAAAGTCATGGAATATTAGGGATATTTGATTGTCATTTACAAATGTACTTCCATTTATCAGAAGTTAAAAACATTATGCAATTTCGAGTGTGCCTCACACAGGTGAGTGGGCTTCACAAACCACCTGTAGAAAACACACTTTTTCATCTCTCTGGCATTTTAATTGACATTTTCTACAGTTTTGCACATTTGCAACAAACACTTTCTTACAATCACTCCATATCTCTAAATAAAAGCATTGTTCATTTATGAAGTGTGCTTCACACAGGTGAGTGGGCTTGACAAACCACCTGTAGAAACAAATAATAAAAATAAATATTCTAAAAAAAGAAATCCCTTGCACTTTATTCTCTGAGCACCGACAGTTTTTTTGTATAATTTGCATTGCTTGTTTTTAATGTCTCTTCTTTTTGAATTGCCTCCTTAATTATAAGTCGCTTTGGACTTACAATTTACCTAATTGACAGATACAGATATAATTCACAGCTAAATGGCTTAATGTGAGTGTAAACAGTTCTAAGTTCTGATTAATGTGGCAAAAATGATCGATTTGGCTGCAAATATTATACAGCATTTTTGTGTTGTTTTGCTTTGATGTTGTTTTGCACAATTTTACACATCTTAGTTCTTCATTTGATCTGAAGAAAAATTTGGTCACTGTAAATTATCTAAAGCAGGGGTGTGTCAAACTCCTGGAGTTCCTGGAGGGCCACAGCCCTGCACAGTGTAGTTTTAACCCTGCTCCAACACACTTACCTGTAGGTTTCAAACAAGCCTGAAGGACTCAGTTAGTTTGATCAGGTGTGTTTAATTAGGGTTGGAACTAAACTGTGCAAAACTGCAGCCCTCCTGGAATTGAGTTTGACACTTTTGATCTAAAGGAAACACGGATAGAAAGTGTTTACCTTCTAACCTCTCAATATAAAGTCTACTCCATCAAATACTTGACTCTAAGTCATACTGATAATTAACAACTGTTTAAATCTCTTTAACAACAGCATTAGGAGAATCATGTTAAAATTGCCAAATTAAGTAATCAATACAACAAGCATACTTTGAGTGAATGTGCAATTCTGTAATATCACATAATGCATCTAAAGTGAGATAATAACTCAAGGTACTATATTGCACACCAGATGAACACTTTCTATACGCAAATATAACTTGGTTTTGCATAAAAAAATTTTTGTCAGGGATCATGAAATTGAACTTTTGGTTTACTGTAAAAAATGCAGGGTTCCACTCAATTAATCCAGGTTGTTCGATTGAGTTAACTTAAGAAATTTTAGTGGATTGAATATGAAGCAATTCAGTTGTATCAAAAAAACTGCAAAAGAATTGTGTTGTTTAAGCTCATTTTACATAAACAGTTTAAACAAGCAGTAAAAAAAAGTTTTGGAGTGTTTAGAATGGGAACCCTGTGTATTGTAGGAATGGTCATTTTAATATCTGTCTGAATATTGCAGCACTTTCGCACACTGGAGGAGAGGAGACGGAGCAACGGCATTAAAGAGGGCGGAGTTCTGCTGAGTGACAACGGAACGCCCCGTAAAAGAGAAAGGCAGAGCTCTGGAACTCTAAACTCTGCCCTTAATCGCAGTCTGTCTCCCAAGGTCAGACAACAGATACGCCACATAGGAAAAGTATTCGATACCATCTTAAGACAACAATCTCCATTTGAAAGTTGTGGTTTGTGGATGTGGAGAGGAGGTTCAAACGGTCTCTCTTCTGCTGTGTTTTTAATCCTGTAGCCTCATATGCCACTGTCTCAGAGCTCTAGCTGTGGCAGCGTCCTTCCCCGCACACTGTCAGTTAACTCTCGAGACCTGGACACCCGACGCCTGCTTAAGGGTAACACACTCGTCACATGATATTATGACCCTAATAATTACACACGTCTAGGAAATAATACTATTTATTTGTATTCATTTGTTTTGTAAACATTTAAGAGTTTTAAATGTGCACTAAGCAGGTTTTTCCATTTTGTTATTTGAAGGCACCAAATAAAACGGTCTTAATCCATTAAGTCCACGCCCCTTTTTGACATCTTCACTGCTGATTGGCTGAGATTGTTTTTTGGGGTTTACTGTAGGGTCCGACTGTGTCAAAAGAATTTTTAATACTTTAAACTTTTTAATAATTTGAAACATCAAACGTTTTGTTAAATCCTTTCCTCTTTTAATCTAGCTGCAGGTCAGCTGTATCTCAATGACGAGAGGCAGAGGATGAGCGAAATGTCCAACAGGGCCGTTTCTGAGACAAATGTCTTCCTGGAGCCGTTTCACTACCTGGATAATGGACACAACTTTGACACAATGAGTGTGGACAGTACAGAGAGCCTGGAGACCAGCATTTCCGCATGTTCACCAGACAACATCTCCAGGTGAGATGATTAATATCAGCAGAATCTATTCTGACAGTTTAACATTCATTACTTAGTATAAATACACAGCTGTCTGGAATACTCCATTCTGATTGGTCAGTCGCAGCATTCTAAGGTATGTTATTCCAGGATAACAACTGCTAAATAACTCAGGCTCATTCAGGAACTTTGAGTTACCTGTCAGTGAAAATGTTTACATTCATATACTTAGATCCACATTCATTTGTATCTGCCTGTCTAACACACTGTTTTTGATTGTTTGGCGCCGTTATGTGAATGAATAATACTTAGGCTACTATATGCTTAATCCAGCCAGTTTCGTTTCTGTCAGCTAAGCGTTTTTGATGGTTTGGCGCCATCTTGTGACTGAATTATGCTTAAGTTAGTGTAAGGATAAAGTACATCCAGGACTGTCATTTCGACAGAATGAATCCCTTCAGTTTTATACAACCTGTAGGCTTTAATCTGCGACACGCACCTCCTGGACGTACTTAGTATTGAATCATTAAAGTTTTTTTCAAAGCATTTATTGTAACAGTAACATCAACTATTAAAGGGGTCTTATTATGATTTATTCATTCATTCATTCATTTTCCTTCGGCTTAGTCTCTATTTCAGAGGTTGCCACAGCAGAATAAACCACCAACTTATTCAGCATATGTTTTACACAGCGGATGCCCTTTCAGCGCCAACCCAGTACTGGGAAACACCCATAAACACTTACTCACACACACACACACACACTCATGCACTATGGCCAATTTTAGTTTATTCAATTCACCTGTAGCACATGCCTTTGGACTGTGGGGGAAACCGGAGCACCCGGAGGAAACCTACACGAACATGGGGAGAACATGCAAACTCCACACAGAAATGCTAATTGATCCAGCCGAGACTCGAACCAGCAACCTTCTTGTTGTGAGGTGAAAATACTAACCTCTAAGCCACTGTGCCGCCCCCTTATTATGATTTTTATGCTTTAAATTTCTTTTACTGTGTAAAGCCTTGTGCTTGTTTATCATTCACACTTGTTGCCATCTATATTCAAGATGTTTCTCCCCAACATGAGATGGTAAACAACAGAAATACTCCGGTACACACATTCACTTGTTGCATGGAATAAGAAGTTATCTTTATTTCATTCATCACTTTCATTTTCTTATGTATTGAGCTTTTCCACTTCTGTTTAACCTCCTCCACTGCAGAACACAACTAGCAAAAGTGTGCTGGAAAAAATTGAGGAAAAAATTGAAATGAAACTCACTATCGATGCAATTGTGCTTGGCAAGACTTGTGCATGAGCGCCACCAGGTTGAGTTTTATTGTAACTTCAGCAGCCAATCGCATTGGTCGACTAGCTTTCAAACCAACAAAACGAGCCGTTTATTAAAAGCTATACATTTATTATGGTCACCAAACATGCGCAGAATACGTTTTTATTTTGTTATTGTTGTGTTTTGTTTTTGTTTTTCGTGGGCATTTCATATGCAGCATCACGTTAGCTCCGATGGATGAATTCCCTTCCCCTCAATGGATAATGATGGGAAAAACAATAATACAGGGTATTTTTATATTGTTTTTATAATTGTTATATTTTAGTTGCTTAATTTGCAAAAACAACCAACCACAAGAAGTGTAAAACTGCATTTGTAGCTGTTTTACTTTTGTTTTACTGAAAATTAAACATGCATTTACAATAATAAATATTTCCACAGTAAACCACAAAATAATAATGGTTAATAATATCATTACTCATAAAGTAACAGTGCTTTTGTAATTTAACATATAGTAATTTTTCCTGTTTAAACAAATAAATACCACATTTTACTTTAATAAACCAATGTTAATGTTACTTAGCCGATCTTAGTTAATTAACAGAACATTTTCCCCCCATTAAATTTATCATACACGAAACACCCAAAATCAGGACAGGTATCTGATGTTAAATAGTATAAAAGTGGTCATACATGAAACACCTGGGATCAGGACAGGTATCTGAAGTTATAGCAGTATTATTGTAATCTTACAGGTATCCTAAGTCACTTTGATTAATTTAAAACACACTGACTTCACATGAAGCACTCGCGATTAGAACAGCTATTTCAAAGTACTGCATATAAAATGCATTGGACATGAAACCCCTGCGTCCTGCAATTGTATACAGGTATCTGAAGCAAACGGCTTTTTTCGTGATCTGCTCATGATCTGTGACCTATGCAAAATTTACAAATAGACCACGCCTACTTGATAACGTAATATCGATTGCGCTGTACTGAAACCCCAGGGAAAAAGTGCCTGCCGCATGCTCACATTAGCGCCCTGTTTAGTCATGAAGCATTAAACATCAGTCATAATCATGAGCCATAACTGGCCTGGTGTCCACTTGTGGATCAAAAAATCTATACATTTACAATGTCGCCTCCATATACAGTTGTATCAGTAAATCAGCTGAAAACTCCTTCAAATGAATCATCCAAGTGCTTGTTTCATTCACAGGTCAAACTTGAACAAATGTGACATTATTATAAATTACTATAGAGTTTGTTTTTTAATAAAAACAAATAACTGATAAGAATTATTATGAAATAACCTGAATTGAATCATTTTCAAAAATAAATAAATAAATAAAATTAAAGCCTTATAGCAAAGATTGTTTGCATTTTTGCTTAAATAACTCTGGGATTAAATATTATCATTGAAAAAGAGGGTAAGATATTTCCTTTTTTTGCCAAAATGTGTGCAGCTTAACACTGTCAAAATGTTTCCATTGAAAGCTGTGAATTATTATTTTTATCTCACCTAATTGTCTTTTTACTAGGTGTTTCCATCAAATGTTCTTCATGCAATATTCCAAAATGGGTGCAAATGTGTCAAGGGCGTAAGAATGGTGTATGTTGTGCTTTGCAGGAGCATTCATTACAGTTCGTAAGGATGCTGTTTAGACAGAATCTGCCTTTAAGTAGCCCAGATATAAACACTTCCTGTCTGTGGAATTTTGATTGCATTCCGAGCTCGTTCCAGTTCCTGAGCCTTAAGATGCTCTGGAATAAATGGAGGGATTTTATTGGACAATGCATTATTTTTATGTGCATAGGAAAAGCATCAAGTTTCACCAAGCGTGTGCATGTGTGTGTGTGGTCTATGTAGCGCCAGCACAGCTAATATGGCAAAGATAGAGGAGATGGAGCGCATGCTGAGAGAAGCTCAAGCTGAGAAGCACAGGCTGCTGGAGCACAGGGTACATTTGGTTGTTTTTAGTTTTTTTTTTTTTTAATACAGCGATTTCAATATGCAGACGCATGAACAAGGAGCAATGTTTTTATTCTTCTGCAGGAGCGAGACATGGAGCTGCGCAGACAGGCTCTGGAGGACGAGAGGAGAAGAAGAGAAGAGCTGGAGAGAAGACTGCAGGAGGAGACCAGCAGAAGACAGAAACTAGTGGAGAGAGAGGTGAAGATACCAGACTAACCTGTTTATAGTTGCTCTAATTCAAACATTTTAAATACACAGAGTTATAATACAGTTAGAGGCAAAATTATTAGCCCTCCTGTGAAATCTTTATCAATTATTTCCCAAATGATGTTTAACAGAGCAAGGAATTTTTCACAGCATTTGCTATAATATTTTTTCTCCTGGAGAAAGTCTTATTTGGTTTTGTTCAACTAAATTCAACTAAATTTTAATTTTCAATGGTCTACAAATAAAACCATCCTTGTACAATGATTTGCCTCATTACCCTCTCTAACTTGCCTGATTAATCTAGTTAAGCCTTTAAATTGCACTTTAAGCTGAATACTAGTGTCTTTTGAAAAATATCTAGTAAAACATCATGTACTGTCGTCATGGCAAAAATAAAATTATCTGTTATTAGAAATGAGTTAATAAAACTATTATGATTAGAAATGTGTTTGAAAAAAGGAGAAAGGCTAATAACTGTAGTTACCTTCATCTTTTTTGTTTGTTTATTTTGTTATGTTTATTACACTAATAAAATAATATTCTACTATCGTCTTTTCTTTTTTTATAGACACTTGTTGATTTTCAAAAAGAGAATAGTCTGATACACACCAGGTTATTATAGTTACTAGCCAATCATTTTTTTTTGTTTTATTATGTTTATTGTACTGATATACTTATTATATTATCATCTTTTCTTTTCGATTTTCCGAAAGAAAATACATATAGAATATACATAATTTCTCAGACAGAAAGACATCTTGTAAATGCTTTTTATTTATGTCCCTTAATTAGTCAGTTAAGTGTATGTGTGTACTGTGTATATTTATTATATGTGGTGTATATAAAAACATGCATTCATATACTTGAGAAAATATGTATTTATATTTAAATGTTATTTAAATATTTATTGAAATCTATATTTATATGATACAAATTATATATAAATTTAAATGTCTATGTAACAAAATAGTTTTGTAAATTTTTATTTCTACAGTATGTTGTTTCTATGTCACATATACTTGCAAAAAAAAACACAAATTACTTGTGGTATAGTTTTATAATAGGTTCAAAACCAACACTGGAATACATACATATAAATATTCAGATGAAACAATTCTCATTTGTAATGTTTTCATTTTTAATGTTGTCCTTTTAGCAAAATTTTACAGAATTGTTCAGAATACAAAATTAACATTTTGTTGTGTTTTTTTTCACTGTCAGCTAATTTTTACTGTTTATACATAAATATTGTTTTTAACACTGGCAAGGCATGTATTTTGTTTCAAGGCACAGATAACTTTTTTTTTTTACTGTCCATATTTAATAATAACTAGGCAATTTGGCCTAAAATCAAGATCTCGATTAATTGAACATTTTAACTTTTATTGCGATTAATAAACGATTATTTTATTTATTTATTTATTTTTTGTCATAATAGTTTACTGACAGGTTTTGTACAGTTAATATGCTCACATATTACAAGTAAGAGATTTCTAAATGAAGGGTGCATTACTTGATTTAAAAATAGCTAAAGAAAACACACACTATCTACTATGTATGATTATTTACATCCTTGTTGATCAACTGAAATTAATACACACATTGCCTAAAACAAACAATCACTTTTCAAGTGAAAATAAATAACCTGCACTTCTGGAAAAAATATACATATATATATATATATACATACATATATATATATATATATATATATATATATATATATATATATATATATATATATATATACATACATATATATATATATATATATATATATATATATATATATATATATATATATATTATTATTATTATTATTATGTTTTTCATATTAAAAGTAGAAAATAAGCAGCATCTCTTCTAAATAAATTAACTCTTGTATATCCTGTAAATAATATTTTAAACATTGCATTTCTTGCATCTTCTGTAAACAAATATTTTATTGTAAATAATAATTTTATTGTAACAGAAAATATTATAGCCATAATATAATATAGCTGATTAACGGCTATTCATTTGATAAAAAATTATTTTATAAAAAATCAGCTTATTAAAGCAAAAAAATCAGCTTATAAAAATCAGCTTATTTATCATGTGGCTGATAAATCAGTATATGCAGTAATGTATTCTAATACAAATGATAATGAATTATACTTAACAAATGTGCATGCATGTATTCACACAGACATACAGTCTTATTCGTAAGCGAGAGTTGATTAGATCTGTGCTGTTTGTGTGTGTCCAGTCTCGTCCGCTGACTCGGTATCTGCCGGTAAGGAAGGATGAATTCGACCTGCGAGGACACATCGAGGCGGCCGGACACCATCCAGAGACCTGCTTTCATCTGGCCATCACTGAGAAGACCTGCAGGGGCTTCCTGGTCAAGATGGGAGGCAAAATCAAAACCTGGAAGAAGCGCTGGTTCGTCTTTGACCGTAATCGTCGGACACTGGCATATTATGCTGGTAATTACACTGTAATTATTCAGTAAAGCTTAATAATCAATGTCAATGAAAAAGCTCAGATTTTTAAATGAAAATCCATTATAAATTATACTATGAATAACTCCATTATATATATATATACATATATATATATATATATATATACATACATACATACATACATATATACATACATATATACACACACACACACACACACACATAGATATATACATATATATACTGTGTGTGTGTGTGTGTGTGTGTGTGTGTGTGTGTGTATATATATACTGTATATATATTTATTTATTTTTGATAATTATAACTTGTCCTGTTAGATTGATCCCAGAATATTCCTTTGAATTCTTGTTCCTTGTTTACATGTAATACTTTTTGCAATGCCTCTAAATGAAATTTGGACCGTGAAATGTTCTCTGTTAATTAAAGAAGTCAATATTAATACTTCAAATTGCCACGAGAACAACTTTACACCACAAGAGGGCCACGCCGAGCTGTGTCCTTCACAAAAGTCACAGCAAGAGACAAAGGCTGCATCGATGAGCTGCAAATCATACCAGATTTAACATGCCAAGATTATATCTTACCTGTTTATTTTACACTCAAGCTCTCATGCATATCAACTCAATTATGTTACATCAAACTGTAATGAGTAATATAATTTAGCAAAGGTTAAACCGTATGTTCTTTAAAAGAAGACTTAAGTGGTTATATTGTTTTTTTTTCACCAGATAAACACGAGACCAAAATGAAGGGTGTTATTTATTTCCAAGCCATTGAAGAAGTGTATTACGACCACTTGAAGAACGCACACAAGGTGAGCCAAAGAAGTAGAGACTTTAGTGATAAATTAGTGCTCATTAGCCATGTTTACATGTTTTATTCAGAATTAAATCATACTGGTTGATGAATTTGAGCATAATGTTTAATATGAACGCTGAATACAGTGATTGATGTGTGTTTATATGCTGCAAGCTTTAGTTTGGCTTTGACCTTCTGACGTGTGTACACTACATGCATGAATATACAGTGTTTCCCTCTGCTGGTTTAAGATGTAAATACTGCCTTCCTCTTGCTTTTTCTTCTTCTTTTTTATTAAAGTTTTGTTTTATTGTTTTCTTCTGGTACATGACAAAATAATACAAACATATATTAAAAATGATCACTGGCAGGCCTACTAAATGTAAAGCCAGGATGTGTACCTTGGTTAATATGGAATAAAACTAAAATATTATAAAGAAAACCTGGTGAGTAATTTTAAATTGTTTTAAAATACATCATCACATAAGACCAAAAGTCTTCCCACACTGGGATACACACAGGGACCCCTGCTTTGTCCTTATAATGTCATTTGTAAAGTAAACGTTCATTATATTGACTCATTCTTTTAGCTCTGGAATTTTGGGAGTTTTCCAGTGTTTTAAGATGACTCTAGCTATCACTGAAATACCCGCCATGATCACTTTGAACTCGCCTTTTGTAATATTTGGCATCCCTATCTCCCAGTAAGCATAACCTTGGTGACAGTGGCGTTAATGTTCTAAGCCATTTACTTTAATATTTAGGGTTTGGTGCCAAAAAGGCTGAACTAGTGAACAGTCCCAAATACAATGAATAAATGTGCCTCTTCTTCCTCTTCTTTTTTTTTTAAGCAGACATAATGTTTATCTATTTTGGGAGATGATGAGCACATGAAGCGTTGTGCTTCAAAGCTAAACAAAACAAGGCATCTGTCAAATGACTGCTGGGACAAGATTGTCCAACACTGTTTCACAGATTATGTTTTCTTTCAACATCCATTTATAGAGATGATAAGATTTTTAAATAAAAAAAATCATAATTTAAAAATAATGTGCTATTTTCTGTCCTGTTTTGACTTTAAACTGTCCTTCCTGTTGAACAGCATAAATGTAAAAAATAATATATAACATATTATCAAAGTGGTAATTAAATTAAATTAAAGCACATTAAAGTACAAAACAAATTACATTTGTTTTATTGTGGTTATATTGTTGAGAAGTACATATACAGCAGTTAAAAAAACATTAAATCGGCCACTATTGTCTCAGAAAATATATTTCTAAAGGTCTTGTTGACTTGATTTTTTCATTAGATGTTGGTAACAACCAAAGTAATCCACAAATTCAACTAAAACAACATTAATTAGTTTATAAACTTAGTTTGTGAAGGCCCAGACAGAATCCGCAGACATTTTTTTGTTATTCCTGTTAAAAATTTTGTTTAAAAAAAATCTATGGATTTATGTAGAATGATTTTGGGAGTATCATAGCTAAAAACTTCCTTCATTCATTTTCCTTTGGCTTAGTCCCTTTATTCATTAGGGGTCACCACAGCGGAATGACCCGACAGTAACTAAAAACTTAATATATGAAATAAAAAAATTTTTATTTAAAAAATTATTTTTTTTTTAAACTTTTATTTATCTTTTATGTTTACAATGCAACTCCAATTAGAGCAAACAAAGCAATCTCTTCTGCAATATTTCTGAAAGATAGAAAAAATTACTTTAGAAACTGTATTGTCAAGAATTCAAATGAACATTTTCATAATAGTCAACAATATTACTGAAATTAGTTTAAAAACTAAATAAATATGTATCTACACACATTTACACACACAACTAATTCAATAGATTTGATGATAGGGTAAAAATCTGCAGATTTCTGTGTTTGCAAATTCCGTGTGGGCCTAGTTATGTGTAATAAAATGAAATGATACAGGGAAAAAGTATTGAACACAAAGAAAAAAGCCATGGAAAGGCCACACAGCAGCTGAAATCAAAATTATTCTGACCCTTGTCAGTGTAATTGAATATTAGCTGAAGAAAATAAAAACTAAAAAATCTAAGTTTATAGACAAGGCCCAAAGATCCATCAAGATTTTTAGACACTGTTGAAGTTTGGGGGAAAAAACACACCTGAGCAGTGCATAAGGCTCCATTCTCTATACAAGAGGCGTCTTGAAACTGTCATTACTTAAAAAGCCTTTCATACGACGTATCAAATACATTTAAGCAGTTCAGTATTTTCTCCTTCTGTCATTTCATTTTTATTGCATGTAACCTAATATATTTGTAAAAATTTTTGGTTCATTTGTTAGATTTTTACCAAAATCTGGTACAGTTTCATGTCATTAACACCTTTAGAAATATATTTACCCAGAAAAAAGTCATCTATCTGTTTTTCTGTCTGTCTGTCCATCTACATCTATCTATCTATCTATCTATCTATCTATCTATCTATCTATCTATCTATCTATCTATCTATCTATCTATCTATCTATCTATCTATCTATCTATCTATCTATCTATCTATCTATCTATCTATCTATCTATCTATCTATCTATCTATCTATCTATCTATCTATCTATCTGTCTATCTATATGTCTGTCTGTCTGTCTGTCCGTCTCTGTCCGTCTATCTGTCTATCTATCCATATATCTGTCTGTCTGTCTGTCTGTCTACATGAGCACATTACGAAACCATCAAATGTATTGTTGTTGTTTAAACAGAGGGCTTTATTTTGATGGTCCAATCGCAAAACAGAAAGCGCAGGGCGCAAACGCATTCAGGGCATGTCAGAATCCATATGTGCTAATATGAGGACGGGAAAATCCGCTTTGCGCCATGGCGCATAGTCTAAAAGGGTTGTGTTTATAGGTGTCTTAAGTTATAGGTGTGTTTTAAGAATAAACCAATAAGAGTCTCATCTCCCATTCCCTTTAAGAGCCAGCTGCGTTGCACCATAAGCGCATTTGCTATTTACATGACATAAAGTAAGTTTACTTTCACTTTTGCTCTCGTAAATAGGGAAACCTTTACACACAGACATCAATTAGCTTATAAATAATTAATTTTGTTTGTTAAGCGCAAAGATTTGTTTCAAAACTATTTTTAAATTCAGTTCTAATTACCAGCAAAGGAACAAATGAACAATAATAACGAAGTGTGGTCAAAATACTGAGTTATTTCCAAATACACTTGCTATGCCCCATATGGTCTAAAACCTGACAGGTGGACAAATCTAAGCTTGTTTGTAATAAAAAAAAATATATAAATATGGATATAATAAATAATACTGTTAATAATAATAACGTTATACAAAAGCAAATTGAATGAACTGAAAAAGCCTCCCGAGATGAAGGATTCAAGGCAGTGGTTCTTAAATTTATGTAGGCTAGAAAATAATATGTTTTGTAATATTTTAATCCTTTATATTTATATCCTATATATATCCTTATTATATCATATATATATATATATATCCTAATATTTTAATTCTTTTTCATATGTAAAGATATTTGCGTATTGCTCCACATCTTGTGTGTATTGAGCAGTGTGCAAGCGAGGCGCACAACTAACATGCTCTGCGTCGGACTTTAGACCGGGTTTGTTCTGGTCTAAAGAACAGACTATTACAGTTTCTCAAAATAGCAACGCGCCAAAACACACCTGCTTTTTAAGACTAGAACGCCTATGGGCGCACATATGAGCGTAAATGCATTTGCTATTTAAACAGCGTGGCGCAACACCTCAAAATGACCCATGCGCCGAGCTGAAAGTAGCAAATAACAATTGCGTCACGTCTTGAGCCACATTGCGCCGGGTGTATATTAGGGCCCAGAGATATATAATCTGCTCATATACTCATGACACAAAATTTTCTATATGGTCATCACATTTAGGTAAAAAACATCAAAAATGCTGGTGGTGAAAGAGTAAATGACCATAGAAAAAGATGTGTCCATTGCCAAACCAGCTGAGAGCCACTGTTTCTTGGCATCGATGCAAATATCCGTTTTGTAACCTTCATTTTTAAGAGTGCAGTGTTGCAACTGACAGCTTTCCCATCTCCTATTAATCTTGTTTTCTCTGCACTCAGAGCCCGAACCCCTCTCTGACGTTCAGTGTGAAGACACATGACCGTGTTTATTACATGGTGGCTCCTTCCCCAGAGGCCATGAGGATCTGGATGGACGTTATCGTCACTGGAGCCGAGGGATATACACACTTCCTACTGTGAGCCGGACTCGTCTTTGTTTAACAAACATTTAACAAGCCCAAAGTGACCTTCACAGTTCAGCTCGGCCTGTTGAAAGGATCTCATTTTTCACATCAGCCTTACTGGAGAGAGGTTACACTTTTATGATCCTCTTTCTATCAGGATAGATCGTCGACTGAACGTTTTTCCAGTCATCCGTGACCTAGTTTGGAAAAACTGGTGCTTTACCCACTGTGTCCTGCCCTGAGTTTACAGCTTTCAGACTACAAAGGTACTCACTCTTGAATTGTTTGCCCCTGTTTTGCTCACTTCCGGGGTAAGAAGCAATGTAAGAGAGATCATTCACTGCTCTTTGCATTTCACAAACGTGCCGATGAAGTTTTGACCTGGATATACCTCAAAGGAAAGACTGGTTGTGCTTAAACTAGACACCAAAGACAGCAGTGTTTCTGGTGAGCCATACATACTGCAACCATCAGGGTATTTCTCAGCGCTGTTTATTTATCCAACAGTGCTGAACATTTGTCCTGTTATTGACCTTGGTTTTTTGTACAATTTATATCTTTCCCACTTTCACCAAGTGCCTTGCATTTGTTAGTATAGGATGAGAATATTTAGCTATATTATAGTAGCATGATATAAATAGTCTGGTTTTTATAGAGCACAAACATAAGGTTCATGAAGCAAAACCCCCCATTGAACTCATGAAAAAACTACATTTCCCATTTTGATGCTGTACAGAAGATTACACCAATTTTCACAGCAAAGTGACCCAAAAGTGATCTTTAACTCCAAAGACTGTTATTATAAATCCTCATGGGAAACATGAATGGAAAAAAAATCCTGAATCTGCGCTGCTGAAAAAGCATGCAGCACTAATGCACTCTATTAACATTATTTTCTATTAACCAACTGTGCCTCCATGATGCTCAGGAACATTCCAGAAGGAAGAATTTAGCACCAAAGACAAGCTGAATACGTTTTTCAGCATGATATGAATGTAATGATGTACACCTGTCACATAATATGACATCCAAGGAGGTTTATGAGCCTTTTAAATAAGCTTATGCTAATGATATTTTCATTAGACTTATGTGTTGTTGTGTGTAGTACCACAACCGGCCAGAAGAGGGTTTCGCTTATTGAATATAGATTTTATTTTTAGTTTTGAACAAATCCATATGCATGTCTGAATTTATGATTGTGTATCTGATTTATATTTTAAAAGTAGGAATCAGTATCTGAAAATACAGAAATTATATGAATGTTAGTGTAGATAATAAATGCAAGGGTTGTTTTATAAGGAAACAATGAAAGCACATGTGCTTTCTGACAGCAAAACAGGAAAAAATGAATTCTTTTGTGAAGTTTGATTAGTCCATTGATTCCACCATTAAAATATTGTGCAATTTTAAAAGCCCGTCCACATCACTAAGTATGACTGCACACTGTAAAAACCATAATTAATTTTTAAGCTGAATCAAATTAACCTTGTTAGACATTTGAACTCATATTATATTAAACTGACTTAAATATTAAGTTGGAACATGATTAACTTAGTTTAATAAGTTACACTTAACTAAAACATAGGTTGTCATGAGTAATTGATCAAATAATTTTTTGGGTCACACTTTATTTTGATGGTTCGTTTGTTGAATATAAATTATATTGCTTCTACATGCCAACTAATTATCATTCGATTATAAGTAGACTGTTAGGTTGAAGTTTGGGTTAGTGTAAATTGAAATGTACTTGCAAAGATTCTTATAGTCAGTTTAGTGTCTGTTGAAGGAGCAGTGTCAGCAGATAATAAGCAGACAGTCCACTACCACTCAAATGGACCATCAAAATAAAGTGTTACCATTTTTTACAGTGCAGGAATAACTATTTTATAACAACAGTTTTGTCATCTTGTCAGTTTAAACGCTTGATCTCTTTAAAGAAGGATGGATTCTAATTGACTGAAAATTCAGAAAGTTACTCTAAAATTTATTGCAATAATGTTTTTGTGCCTTTTTTTTAAATAATTGTGATGTGGACTTTATTGTTCTTTTTTTAAATTAATTTTTTTATTGTTCATTTTCATAGTATCATTCCGGATGTAAATGATCTTTAAAAGAAATCGCATGTAAATGCATTATTGTTCCTCATCCCGTCTCAGTTTAAAATCTTTGAAGACCAAATTGTTCTTCATACAGGGTGTCTGCAGGGTTTTTAAAAAATGTTAAAATGGCTTAATACTCAAAAACTAAATTTAAGGCCTTAAAAAGTCTTAAATCTACTGAAATATTGACGTGTAGGTCCTAAATCATTTTTAACAGGTCTTAATTTTTCCTTGTTCATGTAAAGCTAATCAGCCTGCCCATACAATCGCCAACAATCCATCTCAATCAAACTTTGTATTTAAAAATGTTCCTATGTTTTTATCTTTATTTACAATAATATACAACAATAATAATGATATTTATGTAATTAATATTCTTACAATAACATTTGTTCAAAAGTTGTCTGTATTTACTGCTGAGGATACTGTCCTGGGGTGCGTTTCTCAAACAACGACTTAACTTATGATGCATTGTTTGGGAAAAGAACAATGTAGTGATGAGTGTTTCCCAAAACCCATAGTTTCTCTGACGCAGATCCATCGTTTGAACTATAATGCCCATAATGATGCTCTAAACGGGGTGGTAACAACTTTTTAGAGAAGAACCCCATAGTTTCTTTGTGCAAATTATATTGTATTTAAAAATTATATATTAGTTTTGGTAAAAACATGCACTGGCTTTCCATATTAATTGAAATACATGTAAATGGCATATATAGGGTCTGTGTTTCCTTTACAAATATTATTGAGATCATGAATATTCTATTCTAAAACATAAAATCGCTTACAAAAGCTAACACATATTCTAATCTCATATATAAATCATATATATAAATAAATAAATAAATAAATAAGGAGGCTATTTATTAAGAAATGAAATTTAATATTTATTATTTATAAGGAAATTTTAAAAAATCCTACTTTAATAATAATAATTTTAATGATGATGATGATTATAATAATTAAATAGGATATTGTTTATTTATTTTTTACTTTTTCAATTTGATATTCTAACCTCTGCAGAAATATTCTAACCCAGGTAATTAATAAATAATCTACTATAAACTAAAAGCATTAACCTTTGCTATGTTTTTTGTTTTTGTTTTCACAAGCTTTGGAGACGTGACATAAATTCCGCTTTTAAATAATAGGTCACCTATAGCTTTCGTCATGAGCCACGGCTGTGTTCAAAATGACATCAATGTCTTCAAAGTGCACTGCAAAGGGAATGCGATTGTAAACATGAAGATCGCTAAAACTGAACTGTAAAGTACTTTGAAAGCAAATTACACCTGTAATTACACCACAATGTTATGAACGGATAGGACATAGGGGGGATAATTGGGAATAGAACACAGCCAGGAACTATGTTTCTAACTACAGCTCTCGAGGCAACAAACTATGTTTGTAACAACGATACTTGCAACCTTAGTTAGCTAACAATGGTTTTCGGAAACACACCCCTGATCTATATTTTTTATTGTTAAATTATTGTTATTATTTCTCCATTATTAAATGTATTAAATTTTAATAATTTTGTTTGATAGGGCAATTGAAAACATTTTCCAACTGGGGTATTCGGAAACAAATCCTTAGCATTTAGACCAGTAAAAGTCTAAAATTTAATTCATAATGGTCTTAAAATCTCTTAAAAAGTCTTACATTTCATGTGGTAAAACCTGCAGAAACCCTGTGCATGTCATTTAGTCTCATTTAAATATTTTTTCCTGCCAAATACTTGCAGATGTTCACTAACAGTTTAGACTGTAAAATGAAGTAACTGTAATCTGCCAGCCAGTAGATCAATGTTTATGAGCACTTTGAGACTGAACAGTATTTTAGAGGTGCTTTGAAAATCCATTACCAAGCACTGCAAAGCATGATAAAGATCACAGTTACAAAAGTACTTATTTGAAATGTATCTCAATACTTGTATACTCAGCTTTTGTCAGTATTTTAAACCACCGAGTGTTTATTTTTCAACAAAACAAAAATCTTTATTTTTATTGTAAGCATGTTCTTAGCTCTTAATATGTTGAACCATAATAAAACCACATATGAGTAAAAGCTTTTTTTTTGTATGTATAATGGTGTAAAATTATAACCACTGACTGCTATGAATGTTTATATTTATGCATTGTTGTTTGTGATGAACGAGACATGCAAACCCTGAAACGTGAACACATTTCCAGCCCGCCTTTCACACGTTCTCACCTCTCATTCGCTCAGAAACGTGTAATCAAGTGTGATCCAATTAATTACTTACAGCCAGAGCGTTCAACGCAGCCCATCTGTCTCATAAACCACTGATTTGACATACATTTTACACATTATAGTTGATTTCAGACAGATAAACTGTGTTACGTGTGAAATGCGAGAGTCCATTTTATTTCTCCTTGCCTCCTCACCACACCCCTCTTTTCCTGGCCCCCCTATTGGCTGACCTAGTGAGGTTGCCATAGCGACTTTTTTTTTTCTCAGCGGCGCATGGATAATTAGCTAAACATCTCTTAACAGAGCACATCTTTTCACTGGGGGTGCTTATGTACACCGACGGGGAATAAGACACAAGCATTCTGTTGTCTTTTAAAATATCAGGAGAGTTTATGACAATCCATCCAGCTCATAATGGCGCATTTGTTCTCCATTGTACGAGCCGAAGGGTGTGTGTGAGATATCAGGCAACATGGTTCAAATCAATTCAATGCTCACACAAGGGGAAATTGTGTTTTCTCTGAGATTCATGTTTCAAAACAGAGAGATTATGGTGCTAATCTCATGTTTGGATGCACGTAAATAAACTAAATGCATATGCAGATTATCTTAATCTCCTTTTAATCCCTTTCTTTGTGACACGACCATGTATTAAATCATTGCGCATGCGATTGCCATTGCCATCTGCTTTAGGGGAGATCACCTGAGAGCATGGCTGGCATTCCAGTAGATTTAAGGGTTTGGGTTTAGTTTAAAATAAAACTTTTAAGCATGTTAGCTATTCATTCACATAGCAACAGCTAAATTATGAACATGGGACTGAAAGTGCAAGTTTTTAACAACCACACTGTTATTGTTCATATGTAAAGCTGAAGGTTAATACTGTAAAAAAGTCTTTTTTTACAGCCAAAATTTAATTTTACAGCCAATGTTTTAGTTGAATCAGCTTAACCTTTTTAGTCATCTCAACTTACACCAATCAGACTGACCGCAAATAAAGGAACACTCCATTTTTATTTTGTTTTAGAAAAAGGCTCATTTTAAAAGTATCTTAGTAGTAAACTGTTGAATTTTACCATATTTAATGCATTCAAATGATCTCTGGATCTGGCGGGAGCACTTTTAGCTTAGCTTAGCATAAATCATTGAATTATATTAGACCAGTAGTTCTCAAACTTTTTTCATCAAGTACCACCTCAGAAACAAATTGTCTCTCCAAGTACCACCAAAATGAGCAGTATTGAAATACAATAGCGTAGTAGGCCTAGTAAAGCAGCTACAACTCTGCACAGTTAAAAAAACGTGGCAGATTACCTCAGAAATATAGGCTTTATGTCATTTATCGCATATTATATACATAATTTTTGATACATTTTTAAATGTGTGTAGCATGTACATGACATACATCATTCCTCCGCGTACCACTAGAAGGAAGCCTGCGTACCACTAGTGGTACACGTACCACAGTTTGAGAACCACTGTATTAGACCATTAGCATCTCGCCCAGAAAAAAAAGAGTTTTGATCATTTTCTTGATTAAATATTGATTTTAGTTGCAGTGTATTGTTAGTATATATATATATATATATATATATATATATATATATATATATATATATATATATATATGTATATATATATGTAGTAATAATTGCAACTAATATGCAAGGATTATTACATCAGAGTATAGTTTCAAGCCATTTCAACCTAGGAATTAGCAGTTTTCATCAGTTCTTGCTTTCTCTTAGAATCAAACCCTAAACCATGGTGGTGCTAGTGCTGAAGTACACTCCACTTTTTTTTTTTTAGAAATAGGCTCAATTTACTAGTCTTTTAGTGGTAATTTCTGGGTCTGCTTGGAGCATTTTTAGCTTAGCTTAGCATAAATCATTGAATCAGATTAGACCATTAGCATCTCATTGAGGGGAAAAAAGAGTTTTAATAATTTCCTTGATTAAAGCTTGATTTTTCCATAGTTGCAGAGTGTACAAGAATTGATGGAACTATTTTGGCAGGATTATTACTGACGAGTGTAGTTTCTAGCCATATCAACCTAGAAAATAGCAGCTTTTCATCTTCCCAGACCCAGAGATTGGCTGAATGGGTTTAAAAAAATGGTATAACTCAACTGTAAGGGAGTTGTAAAACTTCCTAAAATGCACTGTTCCTATAAGGTAAAGTTTGTATAACTTTTTAAAGTTGAAACCTGATTAAAATAAGTTAAAGTTAGATTAAATCATTTGTTGTCATGAGTTTTTGTGATAATATGTTTTACAGTGTACAGCACTTTAAGACATTTTTGCAGATCAAGAAACAAGGAGCCTTTTAGTATATATTTACTGTCAGTTTTACTAATTTGGTGTTTCACATTTTTGTTTAAGCATTTGGCTGATATTTTTATCCAAAGCAACT